CGTTTTATGCAGGTCGTTTCTGCAGATCTTTCAGTAGTCCGCCACTGCTCAATTAGAGATTAAAGAATAACCTACCTAATCTTAACTCTCCATTCTGCCTTAAGTACATGAGTAGTAGGAACGGTACAAAGAGTATTTTAACGAAAAAACTTAAAACGAATGCAAATATTGTGATTACTAAGCCAGATAAAGGATCAGGGATCATTTTAATGGATAAAAGAGACTATGTAGATAAAATGAATGGTTTACTTAGTGATGAGAGTAAATTTCAAAAATTTGTCGCTTGTGGTGATACGACCGAGAAAACTGAGAAACACATCTAACCGAATCACTGAAAAGGATAAAACAACAGGGCTTCATTTCAGAAAGCATCTTTGAAATGCTCAAACCTATTGGAACTGTTACACCTAGACTTAATAGTCTACCAAAACTGCATAAAAATGGTCTGACTCTCTGATCAGTTCTCAACATGACAAACTCTCCGCATCATACAACCGCAAAATGGTTAGTACAACTGTTGAAGCTTCTCTCCATAAAGAAGTTGTAAAGTACACTCTTAAAGACACTTCTGAATTTCTAAAAGAGATTGAGGATCTGAAAGTAGATAATCAGTCAATCATATTATGTGATGTTTCATCTCTGTTTACTAACGTCCCTTCAATGGAGACAGTAAACTTTATTTGCAACCAACTTACGAAGCATGGCATGGAAGTAGGTATCCCAGTCTACACATCGAAACAACTACTTCTGAAGTGTGCGATGAACACACAATTCCTTTTCAACAATGAACTCTACAGAAAGTCTGATGGTGTTGCTATGGGGTCACCCCTTGGCCCGGTCTTAGCTGACTTTTTTCTGGCAAAACTAGAGAATGATCTGCTAAACAAAACTATTAGCTGGTTAGAATTACATTGTCGTTACATGAATGACACTTTTATAGTTCTCAAAAGTTAGATTGATAAGAATGCTGTTCTCAATAAGTTTAATAGTGTTCATCTGGCAATCAACTTCACAATGGAAGAGGAGAAAAATAACAGTATCCCATTTCTTGATGTTCTGTTGGTAAGAAGGTTAGATGGAACTCTGAAACGAAGTGTATATGGGAAACCAACACCGACAGGTCAATACACGCACTTCCAATAACGGAAGGAACCTGGTGAAATGCCTAGCACACCGTGTCACAGCTATTTGCCCGGATGATGTTCATGATCTGTTTAGTAGGAATGGCTATCCAGACAAGTTTGTGACTAAGCATATGAATGTTACGAGGATTAAGATAAGAACATCAACGGTTCCTAAGAAGCAAATATTCTTGAAGCTGAAATTTAATAGTGACATTGCCAGTGAGATCATCACACAACGCATAAAAAGAGCCTTACAAAAAGCATTCCCAGTGGCTAAATTATGTCCCATCTACTACAACCATGTGATTCTAGGTCCAAGAAATAAAGACAAACTGACTGATTCTGCCACTTCTGTGTGCATTTATCAATTCAGCTGCTCTTGTGGAGCCACTTACATTAGACGTACAATGAGGCAGGTCGATCGTCGAATTTCTGAGCACCACCCATTGTGGTTGAGCAAGGGGCAAATTAGAGTAATAAAGAGCTCCGAACTTGCACACCTAGTTGACACAGGACATCAAGTTGATACTAGAAAAGCCTTCAAAATCATCCATCATATTCCAATTAATTAACCACATGGATTATGCACTCGGTTACTTCACATAGCAGAAGCGATTGTAATCCACCTTTACAAATCTAACCTTTGTATTCAAAAGAAGTTTGTTCAACCACTTTCATTACCGTGGCCGTCAACATGAAGTAACTTCTAAGTTTACTTTGTACACCTCTTCCCCTTCTTGTTTCTATCAATATTCATTTGTTTTCTCATTATTACGTAATCGCTTAATGTTTATGACTAAACACTCATCAAAAACCAACCCATTTACCTAAGAATAGCCTGCTTCATATTTCCAATTTTAGTTACTCTATTGATTATTTACATCTTTATTTCTAAAACCTCATCTTCAGGACTTATTTGATTAGTAATTTGATTAAACTGCAAAACCATATATTAGTGTAGAGCTCAAGACGAAGACCTAATTGAAAAGGAATATATTTCTTCGCTCAATCAGTTTTTTTCGAAATATATCAATTTAACAGTTCCTGTGGCACAAGGCATATAGGGCGTACGATTAGGCGAATGCGTCTCTGGTTACGAAAGCACTTACCAGCTTGGTTCAGAAAAGGCGAAGTGAAAGGGCACCTAGTCAACACAGAGCATCATACAGATGGTAATTAAGCTTTCAATGTCATACATTGTATTCCAAAAACAACACCTGCTCAGCATATCTGAGATTGTCTCAAAAACACTGACCAACACTGAAGTCTGCATTCAGAAAGATCATGTTCAAACGCTAGTCCTCCCTTGTAAACCAAAGGTCTAAAAGCCTTCTTTATTTGTTTGTCTTTTCGTCCACCATTACAGTATTCATCTGTACATATATTATCCTGATATTGAGAAGAAATGGCTTCCTTACAGTCCTTAAATCTCACTCCATTTTGAAATTGTATTTGCTCTTAACTTGGCTTGATTTGACGCTGTACAAGTGAACTTTATAAATGTAGAAGCTGATGACAATTTATTGAAAAGAATATTCTTCGTTCAGATTGTTTCTTTTTTATTAATGTTAGAAGAATCTTTAAACATTTAAATGGTGCATGTCTATCGTCTGCGCTTTTCAATGGAGGTTCTAGGTTCCTTTGTAAGCCTGTTACGTAATAAACTATATAACTCCATCATCACAATAAGAAACGTGATCATTCACATGAACCATGTGAAAAAACATGGTGAAAAAGATTCAGAAATTTAACACAACATCTCAGAAACACATTAAAAGGTAAAAGTCTATAAGAGCTTTTAAAAATTCCCATTATATAAGCGAACAAAGTTGTTTTCAATTAGATCCTCTTCAGGCTTTACTCGAATACAAATAGCTTAATTTATATAGAAATTAAACCAATCAAGTAGATTTGTCGGTTAGTGTGATAAATGGTAATTTGGTTGGTTGTGGCCAGCAGAAGAATCCAGGGAGCGTGTTTCGTCCTACTTGGGACTCGTCACCTGGACTACCTGCACCCCAGCGAGTGATGTTGTTCTCACTGAGACTTGAACCTCGTACCCCTATCACTTCAAGCCTTGAAAAGTTACGTAATACTGAAGGACGAGGTAAGTGGATAAACTAAGTCTATACAAATACGGTACGTTTTGAGGCAGTATTCACCACAGACTGACATCACTTAGGGAGCCATTGAAAATCTAGGAGCACTGGACAACTGCTTCGTCCTAATATGGGACTCCTTAGCAGTACGCACCCACGACCCGGCTAGGAATCGAACTCAGGACCACCTTCGAGCTTTACGGCGAACACGTTAACCATTCAGCCACTGGGTCGGCTTTTAGCGGTTCATAGTTTCTAACCTCTATCAATTCACGATATAGCATGACTATCGCCCAAGGTCTTTAGTTAGCATCCGCTTCCCTTCGGACTGGTTGACTCCACAGGTCACGGCTTATCATTAGAACAGTCAATATATGAAAAGAGTGAAGAATAAGAAAGGGGTAGGAAATAAAAATCAGTGACAAAGTTATTGACTAAGTATTCCCTGATCAAGTGAGAGATAAGGGATGTACAAATTTCTTCTGGATACAAAGACTAGGATTATTAGCTCGAATTCCCACAGCCTCTGCTATGTGTATAAGACGAGTTCGAATACCTTTTGAAAGATGAAGTGGTATGTGGTGAATAATCCTGAAAGCATTGTTTTCACCTACCAAGTGACCAGTATCAACGAGGTGAGATAAAATCAAATTTCTGATGGATTCGCATTAGTTTTACTCAACGTTATCACTTATTATTTGTATTATTACCATCATCGTTATTCTTAAAAGTTATCACATTAACCGAAAAATCTATATATGTGAAGCTATTTATATTAGAGTAAAGCCTGAAGAGGATCTAACTGAAAATAATATTGTTTGTTCGCTCATATGTCTCGTTCTAAAAGTTTATGTCCCTTCAAATTTCAACTTTTTGGTTTTTTCCCTTTTTCCTTCTTACAGCTAACTATAATGTCCTCCAGATATACTGCTCATAGAACCTTCACCTGATTTACCGTGAAAAGATACGATCGATTAGCCGTTTTTAGTATGATGAATTAGCTGTGTTAATGTTTAGACTGGTTAATCAAAAACCGTGATATCCAGCAAAAAGTGAGCAAAGAAAGAGACCCTCATTGAATAGTTATCACCTGAACTAATAGGAAACTCAACATTATTTTGACTCATTGCAGCTAACAGTGGCATCCAGGACGAGCGTTTCGTCCTATTTTGGACTCGTCAGCTGAATGTACTTGCACTGCGGTGAGTGTTGTTCTCACTGAGACCCGAGACTCGTACCCATCGCTACAAACACTAAGGTGTTATCCACTACGCCACGGAGGGACGATAACCACTTCTTGTACAACGGGTATTAGTTATTACTACCCAGCTGACGAGTCCCGAACAGGACGAAACGCGCTCCCTTGATTCTTCTGCTAGCCACAACCAAGCAAATTATCGTAATTAACATTCAGGCAATATCGAGACATCCGCATAAGAGCCCATATGCCAATAGGTTGAACAATTCGATTCAATAAAAACAACGGAGAATAAAAGGTATGTTATTAAATAGTAATAACCCAACACTATATCTAAAAAGAACTTGGCTAAAGTGGTTTAAGCATTGCTGAAACAGAAATGACTCGTAAACTTGAAGAAATTCTGGGTAATAATAAGTTAGCTAACATTTTCTGAATGACTTTCCTGAATAATTGATATCATGATTATAAATAAGGTGACATTAAAAGAAATTATGACCACTTGTCCTGAAAAACATGTCAGTCATGAATGATATTCCCCCTTTTCTACGCTGACCACTTCCAATTAAAGCAACTTACATGAGAAGAATCAAGAGCTGAAACTGCCTCAGAAATTAATTGATTACAGTTGGTAAGCTTTGATATTGTTTCTTCATTTATACGTGTAACCATTAATAGGAGTTCACGAACACGATTATTTCGCATACGACTTGAGCATTCCATATCATCTACAAAAGCCACTATATCAGTGCCAAAATGACGTCGATTAGCTGAATTGTATTTAGCCAATTCGTCAGCATAATTACGACTAGTTTGATCGAATGACTGCAATTTACTCTGATAGAGAGCTTCAAACTAGATAAAAACGATGAAACAATAGAAAAGATGAAGTATTTTATCCACTATATGGATATTGGAAAGACAAGCAAAATTAATTATACTTTCACCATGAAACGATGAAATGTGATACGATAAGAAAATATACTACTCGTTTATCTCCTATAAAATAGCGTAAAACGCTGATTCATAAAAAGGATACTAGGGAATTCATACCACAGAAGTAATAGTCAGCTTGGTAGCAGATTATTTTGTTATTATTTATCAACAAACCTGCTCTCAGGATTTTTGAGGAAAATTTATTACCCAAAAAATGAAACACATTAGAACATAAGTTCAACTTCTTTACTAGGATCCATTCAACAGATGATTTACTGCTCTAAAAAACACCCTTGGTTATCACAAGTTTATGGTCTCAACCAAACAGACTGTCAGGCAGGCAGGCAGACAGATAGACAAAATCAACGTAAAACCCCTCATATAAGTGCATCATCTCAAGTTGCCACACTTTGCGGGAGTATACAAACAACCGGTGGATAGAACAAGTTGTGACATCAAAATGAACGAAGTTGTATGAGAAAATAAACAAACTGAAAATAAAGGTCAGCGGGAATATTCAAGCTTTGGAAGATGTCCGGTTGTAAATACATCAGCATTGTCATCAAGACTCCTCAACCACTGATTCCTTTCGTCTCGGGACCCTAACCAAGCAGTCTATGTCTTCCCAATATGACTCAGACCAGTCGAATCCAACTTTCCTTAGCATGACACCTCGAGGTAGTCAGTAGCTCGGCATACGCGGTAGATGTTCGAGCCATTTCACTTTTAGGTATAATGAAATACAACAAAAAGGAAAGGTCAGTGGTTGTGAATTATACGTTGTAAAGAAATCTTACCGAGTCTAGGTGAACTACATACAACGTATAAACGATCAGTTGCTTTTAACTGGTGCAGGCGTTACACTTGCCAATCGTAAAACAGTATGCTCAGTCAGTATTCACGTTGAGTATCAATGAGGTGGATTGGATCCACTATCTCACACATACCGTTGAAGTAGATAATACATATACAGTCGTTTATCTCTAAATCAAATCCACAGCACTTTGTCTACCCTTTACTAGTGAAGCATGTAGTATACTGTATTTTATTCGCAGGCACTGGATTGTAGCTAATTAAACCACAGAAAATAAGATTCCACTTATTAAATCATCACAGGCAACTCGCAAACCTTTTTCAGTGTTGGAAAATATCACGTAAGTAGCGTTAGCGGCTACTTAAAGAAGTGCCAAGTCTATATTGACTAATACGCCTATGCCAGGTTATGTATATGACGGACCAACAACGATTAGGGCTTAAAAATGTCATTTATCAATCTTACGCGGATTTCGGTACAAAGACATGCAAAAAATCTGATATATGATGACTTAGGCCAACATTTAGGTTGACGTATGTAAGATAGACCAAAGTCATTAGGTCAATGGTTAACAATCTAGATGGAACAGCAACCCTAAGACTCAATGAAAGCAACGGAAATTATATACAACGATTTGGTGATAACATAATTAACGGATCACAGGTTAGCAAACGCCTTTCCAATTTTTAGAATAGTTAACACATCATTACAGAGTCCCAACGGTGTTTAAAAAACCAAGAAAGGATATCTTTAGAAGTAGTATTCATCATGGACTGACATCAGTTGGTGAACCACTGGAAATCTGGGAGCACTGAACAGCTGTTTCGTCTAACTAGTATCGGTCTCCTCAGCAGTATGCACCCACGACCCGGCTAGGATCGAACTCAGGACCACCTTCAGGCTTCACGGCGAATGCGTTAACCATTCATGGATACTACTTCTAAATTAAAAAATCCCCATTCATCTCAAAAAGGATATCTTTGTTATAAAGATACTTGCGTTGGTTTTGCAAGTATCCTAGCATTCTATTTCGAAATTCATATGGTGGTTCCGTCAGATTTGGAGTTGAAATTCTTCCACAGTAATCGTAACACTAGTGGTTTGGATATTTTTTATACCAGATAGGTACTTACAAGATGATAACAACAGTTTGTTGAAAACAGACAACGATACAGAATGAAATTCATTGGAATGATGCAACTTCAGTTGTTCGTATTGGTCATAATCTTTAGAAAATAACTTCTACTCAAATATATGGCATTATTCTATTGTGCGCATTGCTGAGAAATGTTCTAAAGTCTTACAGAACATATTTATAAATTGCATAAAAGGAGGTTTTCTTTCAACTACTATGAAGAAACGCGAGAAATTGGACTGATGCGCTTCTGTGCAAATTCCTACACTAAGATGTATATGTATCGGTATTGAGATTGCAAAAATCTCTTAATGAGCGACGGCTAAATCGACATCAGTCAACATAACCTATTCAGTTTTCAGTGACAGAAGTCTTGACAAATAGTGGTGTCTGCCAGGGATGCCCACTGTCACCTACTTAATTTCGTTACAGATGTACAGATAGTAACTTACATCATCTGTGGTGCCGACTAGCGAGATATCCGACTATTTATCAAAGAAGGAGTATACTGCGCTACAGGTCGTTCTGTTCTGTTGTACGGCTGAGATAGCCATTAAAAGTAGGAGAAATGAAGTGGCTACAGAGTTTTGATCACAGGTGTTTTTATAGCATTGCTCACGTTTAATGGAATCAACATATGAGGTCAAGAGAAGGGTGTTAGGTGAGACAGACAAGTCCATTTTGAGGTCGTAAACGTTAGTCGACTGGGATGGCTTGGACATGTACCGCGCATGCCGAATCACCATCTACCTTGATGTGTCATGCTAAGTGAAAATGGGTTCGGTCGGAAGAGAGTTCAGGATGGCCAGACCAAGACGTAGAACCAGTCTATGAAGTCTCTTACCGTCGGTCTGAGCCATATGAGGCGATGTGAACTGAGACGATAGGAATCAGTGGTTGAGGAGTCTTGATGACAATGCTGATGCATTCACTACCGGACATCTTCCAAAGCTTGAATATTCCCGCTGACCTTTATTTTCAATTTGTTTATTCTCTCATGCAACTTTGTTCATTTTGATATCGCTCTTATTCTCTATACTGCGTGATGATTGAAGGTGAGATAAAAATCTGGACCGCGGCCAGATTCGAACTAGTGACTACCAGGTTACCCACCCGGTGCTCTACCAACTGAGCTACGAGGTCCGACTGCTGCACAGACTTTCACTTCACTTCAATCACCAATGGTTTTGCCGGACTACCATGTGAGTTCGTGACGCGTTACTACTACTTGATCGTATTCACACTGGTTGCCTAGTCAGGGCTTCTCATTTCAATCCAAATCTAACTGAATCAGAGAGGGAGAGCATCTTATTGATTATAATTTGACTATGTGAGATAGACGTAGTTTGGCAGACTAGTATTTATGCTGGATGATGATTGAAAGCGAGATGAAAATCTGGACCACGGCCGGACTCGAACCAGCGACCGCCGGGTTACCGCCTTGTGCTTTATCAACTGAGCTACTTCACTCTTATTCTATCCACCGGTTTTTTGCATACTCCTGTGGAGTGTGGCAACTTGAGGTGATGCACTTGTCTGTGATATTCTAGGTTGACTTTGTCTGTCTGACAGAAATCAATTCAGATGAAAAAAGGTAATTTATTTACTTTCCACGCTAACTGAGACATTATAACCTGTTTATACCGATAACCACACAAACTATGTGAATGTTTACTAGTTTACGTTTTAATACCATAACAGTAGCCTTTTTATACAAATTGTAATTTCCCATGATTGCTAAATAACTGTCAAGATGAAATGAATTGTAAAAGGGTGCAGGATAAATAATGCGAGTTGTTATGCACCTATAATGGTTTCAGTAACATTGTGGTGTAACTAGAGCGGAAACGTGGTTCACTAGTTTAAGTAAACAATGGGTCATGGGTTCGAATCCAGTTCCACCTACCTAAATTTAGGCAATCGGACAGTAAGTATCACTAGCCCTCATACTATAGATGTGGTTCATTATTGACTGTATGAATGTGCACATGGTTTCTGAATGCATGTATACTAATATTGGAACTTAGTATTCTAGACCGAAGTCCACTGACGATAATTATCGTAACGAATTTTCTTTACTCATCAGTAAGGTCGGTAAATACTCTCATGGTGAAAAAATGAAGTGTCTTCACACAACAGTAGGTTTTCAATACAAAGTTTCACCGTATGTTATGTATTTAGATGGATAACATCCAGAACATGAAATCAGTTTCCTATCAAACACAGAAGTAATTTGTATCCAACAAATGACCACTGTCTTACTGCATGTAAACCATTGAGTCAGAAGTTTAGATTTTACACTGGTTGGTTACTGGAGGGTAACCAACTTCATGTTGTCTAGTCCTGGGGGCTGACCGAACCCTATCGATCATTTCGCAATGTGGTTACCAGACTAGGCAGCTCAGCATCGTGGTGCACTTGCATAGATGTTAGTTGGTTGGAGGTAATCGGCAGGAAGCGTTGAACCTATCAGAGTGCATAGTGATGCTGATCTGCCTAGTCTGTTAACCACATTGCAAAATGATCAGTAGAATTCGGTCAGCGCATAGGACTAGACAACATGAAGTTGGTTACCCTCCAGTGACCAATCAGTGCATCTAATCTAGTCCAACAGGAGGTCGGTCGCGGCTCGAATAGCTCAGTGGTGACGTCGCTGACTACAACACTGGGTGACATGGATTCAAATCTCAGGCGGGACATCAGTTCCGTCGTGGATGCAGATATGCCTTCCTGATGAGTGTCAACAAGCACGAAACCTAGTTCCAGGGCTTCCTACCGATTGCTTTCATTCAACTAACAAATGATTCGGACCAAAGAAATCAGATCTAATGTTAGTTTTCACACAATGGGCAGTTATAGTATACGTAATGTGAGGAAACCTATTAACAATGGAAAGGTGGAGTGAATTAGTGGTTATATTGGACTTCAATATGACCAAAGTATATACACACCACTGTGAGAATATAAACAGTTCACATTAAAATTAGACATTATCCTATTAGATAGACAAACGAAGATAACGTAGAACTTCGAATCGGCTCAAGTTGCCACACTTCAGGGTAGTATATAAAGAACAGGTGGGTAGAAAAAGTGACATCAAAGTGAGGAAAAGTTGTGTGAGGGCTTAAACGAACTGGAGATAACGGTTAGTGTGAATCTTCAAGGAGAGAATACATCTGTGCCTCTGTGAACGATTTTCAACCATGTCATCAAGAGTCCTCCCCAACCACTGATTCTTTTCATTTCAGTCTGAATCTCCCAACATGACTAAGACCCACAGCAAGAGACTTCATGAACTGGTGCCTCGTCTTAGTCTGGTCACCGTAAACACTCTTGCAACTTCCCCTAGGACGGTACGTCGAGGTAGGCAGTGGCTGGGCATGTCCAGTACATGTCCAAGCCACCTCTGTCGACTAAAGTTTACAACCTCATCAACTGATTTGCCTGTCTTACTTAACTCCTTTCGCCTGACCTCCTATTATATAACAGGACAGCTTCGAAAGACGGAGGAAGTTAGTGACTACATCGGGGAAACACAATATGGCTCAGCAAGGATAAACACAATACGGTTGACTAACCTTTTGTTGATCAATTCTTGCTAACTGAATATCATTTTGTGCTTTTTCTGAAACTTCAAATGCTTTCTGCTTTTCTTTGAAATTAGCTACATACTTCTGCCAACTTAGTTCCAATTGTTTACGTGATTGTTCTATTGTTCCATTTAACTTTAGCCAATGTGAACGATGCTTTTCTAAAGCCCTCTTCTCACTTTCAACTTGAACTTTTAATGGGTTGACAACAGATTCATTGAGTTTTTTGGAACTAGCTTCATGAGCAACACCCATTTCGAGAATTTGAGGTACAATACTTGAATATGTTAACACGGAGGAAAACTCGTCAACATCCGGTTTCTTTCTTGGTAAATAAATAGAAACTGTTTTTCTATATGGGAAGAGACAATGCTGATCAAACAACACCTTACCTGAGCTTTTTCCCAAATTCATGTTGTAATTTCTGAACATCTGACAACAGTTTGAAGTACGACTCGGTCAACCCAATTTGATCACTCTCATGTTTAAATAGGCTCTCTACTTGATCCTATAATTAAAAAAAGTTCGTTAATCTCATGATCATCCGAAAGCAACTACTCATAACATTAAAACAAGCGTGAATTGACTAGTAAAACCGAATACTGGAGCCCAAATATACAAATTTTGTCCGAAAATATCATAATTAAACATGGGGCTGTTAACTCGGCTGTTATGTAGACAGAAATACGAATGGACGGACTGTCTTGAACAGAAGTGCATCAGTTGAAGTTGTCGCACTCCATAACGTCAAACGAAGAGGAAGTGAACAAAAATAAAACGATATTACAACGAAAAAAAAGACCATAAGAAAGTAAAATAATTCAAGTTCATAGTGTCCAAAACTGCGAAGGTGGTGAAGATTAAATAATCTGATAGGTTGTAAAACTTGGGCACTATAGTCGAATATAATTTCATATTAGATTTGTTTATTCCATATAGGACAGAAATATAGTATTATTCACTTGAATAACCTCGCCTGGTTAACTAGTTCACTAGTTACTAGCCGGTCCTAAGCCCGAATAAGGAGAGGGAAGGTTGGGCATAGGGCTAGCAACCCTACCCCGCAAAAACAATCCCGTCGCTAAACAAACTTCAATGCACAAACAAAATATAAAAAGCAAAAACAAAATTATTCCTCACTGGAGTCCGAGAGGCGAAATGACGCCAGTTGGTGAAAACCTTCAGGAAGCCAATTGGCTGATGTGTCTTCTTTCCCTCGATGAAAGCGAAAGTAAACGTGTGGACATGGAATGTCTGCACCATGTGTGAACCCAGCAAGGCTGTCCAGATTGCAAACGAGATGCGAAGGTATAGCATAGAAGTGCTTGGAATTCGCGAAAGCAGATGGAATGGGAGTGGACTCTCCAAACTGTCAACTGGAGAAGAGGAGTCATTAATCTACTCCGAAATTGTCACCCAGATGACAAACACGAGCACACTGAGTTCTCGAGTGGCCATCATGATGTCCCCTTGAAGAGCATCGAAGGCTCTCTCTCTCTCTCTCTCATGTAGTGGGAACCAATCTCCTCACGATCAGGATCATAACAGCAAGGTTCTAATCGAAAGCAAGGAAAGTCACAATCATACAATGCTGAGCCATGCACCTACAAATAATGCAGATGAAGAGAAGAAGAAGGAATTCTACAGACAACTACAATCAACACTCCACAAAACCTCAGTTGGAGACATCGAAATTCTAATGGGTGACATTATTGCTAAACTGTGAGGGGACAACACAGGAAGAGAACTAACCATGGGTCGAGAAGCGGTCAGTGAAATGATGAACGAGAATGGAGAAGTGTTTGCAGAATTCTGTGCATTCAACGACTTGGTGATTGGAGGGACTGTGTACAAACACAAGGATATTCACAAAGCGACATGAATTTCACCAGACACCAGGACACACTACACTAAAAATCAGATCGACTTCATCTCAATGTGAAGAAAGTGGAGACACAGTCTACTGGACACAAGATCAGATCGAGAAGAGGAGCAGATGTAGGTTCACACCACACTCTCTAGTGCAAGGAACCTACCTTCGATATCAAGTTGAAAGCCTTCAAAGAAGTTGGTGATGACAGACTACAGTTCAAGTTCAACACCCAGAACACAAACTGAACTGAAGGATGAAACTACAAACGACATTTTCACGTCAGCCATCAGGACAAGATGGGAGACACTGAGCAACATCCCTGAAGAAACCTGTGTGGAAGAAGAAGACTGGAAGTCTTTGAAAGAGATGTGAAAAGAAACCTGCATAACCGTATTAGGAAGGAAGAAGGTGGAAGATAAGGAATGGATCTCGATGGACACGTGGAAGCTGATAGAGGAATGCGAGGGAGACGAAGATGGTGAGGCAGAAGATAAACCAGTGCAGTGCAAGGATGAACAACGAGAAGAGGAACTTAACACAACATACACAACATTACACTGGACAAAGAAGTGAAGAAGAGTGCACGGAAAGACAAAAGACACTTCAACGACACATTGGCAAGCGAAGCAGAACAGGCTGCCGGCTGGTTTGAGAGACCTGACAACATTATATCAAATAACTTGGTTATCATCTGCGAGGGGAGAGATCAACGTAGATGAAACCAATAAAAGATGATGAAGGAAATTTAATTACGAAAGAAGAGAAACAAAGGAAACGATGGGCTGACCACTTCAAGAAGCTCTCGAATCGACCACCACTATCTGCACTTCGTCCATAAATACCACCAGCAGCTCAGCCACAGAACCACTAGTGAACAAAAGCCCTCCGACTAAAGCAGAAGCGGGGTCGTGAAAGCCACAAAGTTGCTGATATCCAGGAAAGCAGGAGAGACCAGATGGAAATCCTACAGAAGCACTGAAAACAGACGAAGACAACAGCGGATTTGCTGACACCACTTCTATTGCAGAAGGTTTGGAAGGAAGGAAGGAAAAGTACATGTCTATGGATTGGAAGAAGGGCTACCATGTCAAACTTCCAAAGAAGGGAGACCTAAGTCTTTGCAAGAACTGGCGCGGAACCATGCTCCACTCCTGTCCATCCAAAGCAACCAAAATATTAAGCCACATCACGCTGGAGAGACTAAGATGCTCTATATTCAAATTTACGACCGGAACAGGCTGGTTGGCTTCGGGAAAAACAAATCATGTGCGGATCACATTGCAACACTACGCTACGCATCATCATAGAACAGAGCATAAGAATGGCAGTTCACTGGATCTTTACCTAAACTTCATCAACTTTGAAAAGGCCTTCGATAGAGCCGACCGAGAAGTAATTGGCACCTGCTGCTTCAACACTAAGGTTTTAATGCCACATACCCTTATCAACCTCATTCAACAGCAGTTATATGCTACATGATGTTACATGCCAAGTGATTCACAATGGAAAGCTCAGTTCACTAATGCCTTTGAAGTGAAGATAGGAGTGAAACAAGGTTTACTACAATCACCAATAATAATCTTCGTAACTCTAGTGAACTTGACTGGACTGGATCATGTAACAAACAATGGGGAGCTGTGAGAAGATGGACATACGCTGACTGGACCGATGAAAATACCCCAGAGGAAGATTTGGATTTCGCCAACGATGATGATTTATGTCCAATGTCTTGTGACACAAACTCGAAGATCTAGAGGCGAAAACCAACAAGTTGGTAGAACAGGCAGGGTAGCGAAGACGGGACTTCAAGTGAACGTAGAGAAGACACAGGTGATGAAGATACCCAACCAACAACAAGTACCAATCACCATCAACGGGAGAGACCTAAAGGAAGTAGTATCTTTCACCTACCACCTTGGCAGCATCTTTCCAACAACAGGCAGCACAGATGAGGACGTCAAAGCCAGCCAGGATCGGAAGCACAGCAAGACAAGTCTGCGTTCATTAACATGAAACCAGTGTGGAGATCTACTGCACTGTACTGTACTCAGCATAAAGCGTGAACAATATCCAGATTTTCAACACTAATTTAGTCAAGTAAGTGCTTCTATATGATTGAGAGACTTGGCGTGTTACGAAAAGCATTTCCAACAAACTGCAGTCATTCATCAACAACTGCCACCTATGCTCACTCAATACTGACACTGGAAATCAGATGGCCAGAATAAAAAGAATAAGAAACAAGGAACTCTGGCTGGCCCCACAATGAACCAATGAACAACCCATTGCCCAACAAATATGCAACAGAAAGTGGAGATGGACTGGGTATACACTGAGAAGACCATTCGGAGACATCATACGACAGGCCCTCGAGTGGAATCCAAAGGGAAAACGACTAATTGAGCGTCTGAGGGTGATATGGAGAAGATCGTGTGAGGAAGAAATGAAAGCTTGTGGGCAGTCGTGAAGCCAGGCGGAAAAGACTGCAGAGAACAGGATGAAATGGAGACGTGCTACTGAAGCTTTTTGTTCAACTAGGAACCCAAGGGACAAATAATAACAATAATAAAATAACCACAACTTACCCTATCTACAAACGCCTCACTACCCTGCAACTGCAGTGAAAAACCGCACCATGCCAAAATCTCACTACGCAAATTTTTCGAAAAGCTGATGGAACACAATTTGGGAAAACTTCCAGGTTTTGAAGAGTTATAAGTCACGCAAAGGAAGTGAGCTGAGATACGAAGAATACCTTCCTTCGAAACTTGTTAACATATTCAACAGAGAGGAATTAAATATCGGGAGTGGGAGTGAGCTGGTTTGTCACCAATATTCAAAAGTGATCAGAAGAATGCAATCAATTACGAGCCTTTAACCTTGCTAACCATTCTCTCTAACGTTTTGAAAGTCCTAAGACAAACGCTGTTTGGGAATTTCCGAGTAGGGATAGAACCCAATTTTGCCCAACATGGATTTAAGACTGAAAGGTCTTGATTCATCAACTCGCTGACCACTTTAAACCATCGAGCAGCTAGCTGGGATGATAAGAAAACGGTTCATATCGACTTCCTTGACTCAGCGAAGGTTTTTGATAATGTCCAATAAGACACTTTGACAACGAAAACTTTGGCAGCAGGAATCAGTGAGCCACTAATCTTCTGGTTTATGGTGTGATTTACGTGAGCAGGGCACGTTGTATTCAGGTAAACAGAACCCGGTCTGCATGGACGGTCTCCATTTCTGAAGTGTCTTAGAGGGTGATCCTTGGTCTGTTGCTTCTGCTCATCATAAACGATTTGCCTTCAAAAGTCTCCTCCGCGTCCCATTATTTGTAGATAACATCCAAACATGATGGGTAGTAGATAGAAGTACTGATCCAAATCAGCTGCAATGTTTTACAGGTGGGAACCAGGAGAGCAAAATATGGCGTAAGCCTTAACTCATGACAGTGTAAAGTAGTGCCTTCTCAAACTCCTGAAGCAAACAGTTAACTATACTGTAAGTGGCCACACTACTCCACAGGCGAATAAACAAACATGTGGACGTTTCTCCTCTATACTAGACACCAGTAAAACTATAAGGGAATTGTTGAAAAGGCTATCTCCGTTAGACACTTCTTTCGAGAACAGCTTGAAGCTCTCACTCTCCAACTCTTTCACACAGTTCTTTAAACATCCTCCAGACCACATCTTGAGGTTTTTAATGCGACATTCCCCTTACTGCGTAAGTGAGACTTAATCCTTTTGGAGAATGTAGAGGTTGGCGAAATGTGTTATCACGCTGGGCGTAAACCTGACTTGAAACATCTCTGATGACCTCAACTATTCACACTAAAGTGCCACAAGAGACGAATGAGCAAAACTGGTTGGAACGCTTGTTGTTTGAGGTCCTACCAAGCAAAAATGTCTGCTGAATAGTGGTATAAAAAGCAGTTGCTGGTATAATGTAAATTGGTCCGCTATGATGGAGTGTCCGATTGAAGTCGAACTGCTGGATAAGTGGGGTGGCAGCAGCTAGGTTCTTGCGGATGACTAGTGGTGTCATACCAATGCTACCCTTCCCATAGAAAGGCCTGCGGGGTAGAAAAGGTGGATGCAAAAAGCTGCGTACCGCTCCCTGAACTAAGGTTTCCCAGTGCCAGTGCTAGGGATTTTTCCTACCCAGTGTTAGAGCAGCCAAACTTCATATGAACAATCCTCATAAGGCTGTGTCGCAGGAATCAAGATGTCCTATGGGCTCCACAGTCACGCAGATCTCTGCCTTTTTCTCTTCCAGATACCCTGCAGAACCCATACCTGATGACTGTTCATCACGAGAATTATCCTAAGAAAATTTCTACTGACCTGAAATAAACAGCCACACTAAGGGTATGCCCCTACCGCATGAGTCCTTTAAGACTATCCGATGAACACGTCGGTATGGATGGTTTACCACTAACCTTACAAATCCACAGAATACCACCTCAGCTTTTCCCTAGCACTTTACAATGAAACAACTAATATGACTATGCATCCTATTTCTTCCCTTTTCTCTGAGAAGCCAATATTGGGCGTTTCTTCCGTTCTACTCGTTGTACTAACTTCTACAACCTTAGGTTCGAATAGAATGGTTGGATAAAGACTGTAGACCTTTTTAATTTTAGGAGCTACGGAGCTCTTTTACTTATCCACTATACAAATCACACAGAGAAATAACCTACAAAGATTGACATTCGCAACAGCTGGATGCGAGAAAAACTTAAAAAGTACAATGAGACGAGAATCCAGCCTGAAGGTCTGAAAGTAAGAATAAAAACCTGCCAGTGTAATAAACTCACTTGTAAGACATTAAATATTACACATAGTGGTCCCCACCACCTTATAACAAAAGTGACAAATACTAGTATTCCCTTATCACATTAGGCCACATAAACTAATACATATGCGATGTAGGATATCACAGTCATAATAGATAGTATAAACATACATTCCTCTAACTCACTGCACAAATAATTACATTTGAACAGTGGTCTCACTCTTACTGTCACAAAATGTTTAACTTTTAAGGTTGTTAGAGAGAGCCTGGGATATGACTATGAACGAAAGACCCAGATAATACAGGATTTAAGAAGTAGAAATATACCTACCCACAGCTCAACACCCCAGCTAAGTTCACCCATATTCGTAACGAAAACGCTGAAAACGCGCGGGTACGTCTAACCTCAAGAACTGAAGAGACAGATTTCCTTTTTATCCAAATAAGGTCAAATAACCTATAATATTCTTGCGTAGCCTATCCGAAATGAGTCAGCAGATGACATGAGCGGCATTTTTCCTCACATTAGGTACCAGGAGTGACATGCTTTCAGTTTAAAAAAACATTCTTAACTTTTGAAAGATTCCGAAATCCTTTCCAACGTCATTAATGAGAGCTAAAGGAACTCGCGATTTTTGGGCTGTCGCTTCCAGGTCTTAAAGCTCGTTTTGTTGCGTTATTCTCCTTCGGTGGTCGCAGAAGTCTTTACAGCGTCTATTTGGAGGTTTTCTTTTGTAAATTGTATGTCTGTTTGAGTGTATAAAGGAGCAACAGGGCTGCAGATAAAATCAACCGACCTTTCAAAATTCCTGTTTTTGTAAGTACCTGCAAGTAATTATCGGGATTTGTTAAAAAATGAGTGTGAGAAATAGGGCGACTGAGGAATGAGAGCAAGAACAGTGAATAGTACTTTTGGAAAAATAAGTGTTACTAGTGCTTATATGGGGAGGATGTGGGTCATATTTCAGATAACAGGGTTGGGGAACACAAGGATGGCTGAGCATACCTTCAGTTGCTACTGGCGAATGTTCACGGTGAGCCGTTTTGCTCTCACATGCCTATCCAGCAGTCGTTTGAGGGAGTCAGCTGGGTCAGCTGTAGCTACTTCCCCCAGCAGAGCGTTCCGTAGGGCACATACTGCGTCTGGGAGGTTAGTTGCTGCTCTCGTCTTTGTCCTATGGTAAGAGTGCGCATGGGTTTCCCGCAAGACTGTCAGTTTTGGGCCGATAATGTGTACCTATTGGAATGGTCCGCTGGGTAAATGATCTCGTAGGTTATTGCTAGGTTGCCTCTCTCCCTTCTTTAGGTCAGTGTGAGTAAGTTGAGTTGTCTGGGGCACCGCGCACATGTTGTGCCTGTTAGCCCGACAACCGAACCTCTTTCCTTCTCTGTATCTTCTCAGGAGCACTCATACCTCTCTTTGGCATTGGGGGCCACCGTCTGCGAAATCTCCAGATGCCGTCTAATATAGGTTTTAAATACCATGCGGTTGGCGTCCAGGCTGTTGTCTTAGAGCACTCATGACGGGGTTCGCCTTTGCTGCCATTCTCCGGCAGTTGAGGCTAGTTTCCAGTGCTTCAGAGAAGTTTAGTAAAAGTTTCTTTGTGGACACCCTGGTGAATACGCACTTGTTGAGTGTGTAGCTGATTTTTATCGCTGCCGTTGTGCGAGGGTATACCACCATGCATTTCTCCAGGCCAAGACTTAAATCATTCGCAGCTGACCTGGACTCCAGCTGCAACAGGTCAGTCTGAAGTATCCTAGGGTCCTCTTCCTTACCCACTGTCCCCCATACTTTTATGCCATCAGAAAATAGGAGGATGAAAGAGGAGATAATAATGGGTGGGTCATTTACCAACGGTAAAATTAGGGGTTACCCACGAACCGGTCCTTCAAAAACTCCTGTTCTTGCATTCTTCCAAGCTGACCGGATTCTGTTTACATTAGTACAGAATTCTCCGTCCCCTAGATATGTTGCAGGCCACGCTATGAGTGGTTGAGTGATTCCCACCCCTACAAGTTTAGCAAGCGTGGTGCAGTGTGGAACGGTATCGAAAGCCCTGGCCATATCCAGGGAGATAACATGCACTAGTTTCTTGCTGTCCCATCCAGTGGTCCAGTCATCCCATGAAGCCATCAAGTTTGTGGCACGTGCATGTCCGGTTCTGAAACCGTGTTGGATGAAGTAAACAACTTCATTTCTGTTTCCGTGTTACTGAACAGCATCCTCAACCAGGCTCTCCAGCACCTTGGATAGTATGAGAAGTAGCGCCATTGGCCTGCAACTGCAGGGGTTATTTGATCTCCCTTGAAGATTTGTGACTACTTCCAAAGGAAGCGTGAACAGATTGCACGTGCGTATGCCTAGAACTTTGGTCCAATCCCGCAGGACCACCGGTCTTATGTCGTCATAGCCCATAGATTTCCCCATTCTAGGTGTTGAAAATTGCGCGAGCACTTCGTTTGACGAAGTCCTTACTTCCATCAGTCATTTTTGTGATGGCAAAAGAAATAAGGGATCCGTAAGGCCCACGATTACTCCCTGAGATTTGGAGGAAGCAATCAAGTTCATTCAAAATGTAAACTTTATTCAGCTTCTTCAATCTTGCACTCTTTCCTATGATCTTTTACGGCCTTTGGGGTAAAGATAGCTATGCCACTGTTTTCTATCGATTACTTCTCTGCTTACATATGCTTACAAGTGGAGTGGAAATTTTGATGGACTTTGGGTTACTCGTACTCGTCCTACTGCCATATGTGCCCGGAGATCACATTTCTATGGCAGCATCAGTTTACCTGCCTGGTGAGTCAGCCTTATTTTTGTGTCTTTGCTTCATCGTGTTGACACTGCATGCCATTCAAATTTCCCTGCCCAGCGTTAACATTGACGATGAATGTAGCGGCAAATGAGTCCCCAGAATTGGCCTACGGTTCGACGAGATTCGGCATCAGATGGGTTAGGCTGAAGGCACACGTTGAAGCAACTGCCCCATTTGACCCTTTGATACGTCATGTTGCGGCGCGCGCACGCAGTCCCCCAGGCACTTTGTTGAAGCGTATTGGCATTTTGACACAACTCATCACAAACACTGTTCCTACCTGGTCGCCTCACGATATTCTATCTTGTCCCCATTTTCGTAGGTATTCAACAAGCATGAGGACTTAGTGATTGGCCCCTGAGTCTGTCATATTCGCTTGCGGACGGTTAATAAGGCTCGTACCATGTTGGACCGTCTTCAACTTTTGGAACTAATTGTGTTTTCAATATGACTGGTACAAGTGGCCATCAGTCCGTCCTAATGGAATGTGAAGTAACTTTGACAGCAATCTTTTCTTTTATCGCAGTATTTTTGCTGCATGTCAACTTGTCTGACTAAGTTACAGTGGGCATGGTGGTACTAAGCTTTTACTTGTTGGCTGACTCCATATATAGGTAGGTTCTGCAATATCGGTGTAAATTGCATATGCCGTTGTTATCACTGGATATGAGAGCAGAGAGTGTACCTACCTGTCTTTCTCGGGATCAGGCGAATCACCCATAAAGTAGACAGACTGCCGATTGCCTCGTCACACAACGTTGGCTGAAGTAGATCCAGGCTGGAAAAAGGCTTGAGGTGGCCAGACCGAAACATGGCATCAATGTATGGAGTCTCTGACTGTTGGTTTGAGCCATGTGACACGATGCAGGCTAGGTGGTTTGGGTCCGCAGGACAAGAGGAGCCAGTGGTTGGAGACTCTAGGTGATGTAGCCCAGAACTGACGTCAGAGGATCAGATGTATATACATATTACCCTCATCTTAATGACGTTATACCGAATCTCACCACTTTCTCACTCCTCGTTTGTCTCTTTCGCACTTTATACTTCTTTCGACTACATTCTCTTGTCGTCATCCTGCGCCTCACTGCCTTTTTACTCGATGTACTGATATGAGGTGTGGCAACTCGGACCGTTACTCAGTAATGCCTGATCCTAGTTTGATCTCCATGGACAGTAGACAGAGTCAGTCGGAAAGTCATGATCACTTTTGGAGATTTTCGGACACTATCATTCCTCACGTTTCCCTCATTAGGTGAAGAAATGCTTCGCGACGAATCTCTGGTAACTACCTCCCCTTGTTTGAGGATGGCTCTTCTTCATTGGAGGGAGCATTTGTGTGCCCACCGTTGGAATTATTAAACAGTTGAAGCGGAATAACATTATTTGTGTTTTCGTCACCCTGGCCACCAGCCAAACTTCGTGAAAAACGTGCACTGAATTTCATATCAGACAAGCTGGTCACAAGATCGGTATTTCCCATATAGCCTCTGGGTCCGAAACGCTTAGCGCAACTGTGAAAATAGTATTGGCAGTCGGAGCAGAAAATAGAGTGGATGAGATACTTTACTGGAGCCTCTGAGCCGTCTTCCATACCCCTATGGAATAGTGTGTACTCCATAACCGGCCGGGTGTGATACGGAAGCTGCTTGCTAGGATATAGTTGCCACTGGCCTCTAGGATATTGCATATTGCCTCCAGCTATTGAATGGTTACTCTTGCTATGCTGCCGTAATGAAGATGGTGAAACTGTTGTCGATATACTGCGTTTTGCGTCATGAGATTCAGGACTGAGGCTGTATTGAAAAGGTTATCTCAAAGAAGTTCTAACTCTGCTTGTTTAGCACCTTGTGCCGCATTTAGTTTGAAATCACTTGTGAGGATTGCGTAATCTTGAGGGTGTATTTGTGTGAGACAGCGACGTAACTGTTGTCCAGGTTTTCATTATGAACTCAGAACGTAGGTGTCATATATCAGTCACTTGCAACTGACGGAATGTTAAGTAATGCTGCTCAGAAAGCCACGATCTCCACTTGTGTTTTCGGTCACAAAAGAGCCATGCTATGAAGCAACCTAGGGAGTTGCATGTGACAAGGGCGTTTGATGTCACTGTCTGTAGCTACGTAGTCTATAGACAGTGTCTTATTCCAAGGACATGATGCACATTGCGGTCATTCACCTAAACGTTCTACCACAGAACTCCCGGGAGACGGTGCGTGTACTGTCTCCCTGATTCGCTAGCACACTCAGGAAAATATGCGAAGAATTCAGATGTATATTATTCAAATTAGATTTCTTATAATTTAAAAGCTGAATATTTTGGATTCCAGTGACAACATACAAGAAGCTGTGAAATAGGTAGTTATGACTTCGTTCTCCTCTAGAAAAAAGGAGGATGATTGGACGCTCTAGATAGAATAGTACTGATACTCCAGAAACTTCGTTTTAACAGCATAAAAACACTTTTTTCGGCTGAGGCCAAGAAGTAAACATTTTAATAACTTAGCCGAAAGTATGTCCCGCAGCCGCTTTTTCCCGTTAAAAATCTCAGCACACTCTGTCCAAATCATGTGAGGGTGGAGAGTAACCTCGGTTCCCTCTTGGAGCTGGGTGATGAAACTGAATCGTCAAGCGTAGCCCTCAAGTTTTCCCCAGCCACATCTTTGGACACTTCCCTATTAACTGTTCAGTTATTTTTCACCAAACAGTCGCTGGATGCCATAAAGTTAGGGTGCCAAATGTTTGTTCTGAAGTCGGAGACCAGGTTAAAATCCAGTCTGCTTGTGAAAATCATGAAGTGGCACTACGTGGTCCTTGTCTGCCAGCCTGAGGAAGTGCTGAAAATGCATACACATTATCGTCCTATTGTGTAAACAACGATTTGAAGACCGATGCATTACTCGTTGGATAGAAAAGAGTTGCTCTGATGATTCTTTTGTTATGCAGGGCAGACTTCAGTGGATTATCCATTACAGTTGGTTTATTCACATGTACAGTTGTCACATGCTCTGGCGTAGTGGACCTAATGTATTAGTCACTGTGGGTGAATGTTAGAAAACGTACTTCTCTACAGTTTGACTTTCAATCAGAGGAGGCAGCGGTACCCGCGTTTGTTGTGATGCGTGTTCCCTAGTTAGCAACAAAGTCAGCTCTCAGTTGTCAACTCATACTTTCTTGTCCAAAATTCCATTATGAAGGGTGCAAGTATTCGTGGAAAATGACTGCTGACGTATTTGAGGTATGAATGGTGCAACTCGTATAAGTTTAAGAGGCATTCTAAGATCTCAGCCCCCGAAAATCCACAAGATTACCATTTTTGTTTGATTTCCCTGTCTTCAGACATAGTTTGGCAAGGGCTGTTCATCCCTTCGCTCCTTTCTTAAGAAAAAAGCACACTTGGTTGATTATGCTTATTGAGGTCACTGCTGGCAGTGAAAACTGTTTCCTTTTTATGTCTCAGCTCAACCTCTAGGATACATGTGAGTCACGTGTATTTTTTATGTGTTCACTTAGTTCTGCCACTGTGTAGACATATTCTGCAAGCTATGTTGCCAGCCCAATATAAGGGGAGTTATAAGCTCGCTTAGAGTTTCAAACCCGGCGCTTAGATGGGTCTTATGTGCTTATGTAGATAACCATGGGAACCACCTGCAGTGGATCCATCACCTGAATATTAAAACGTAGGGCACCTGGAGAATTCCTCAGAGGTTATCTGATTCAATTCAGCTCCGCACTTTGAACCATAGGCCTGCATTCATATGACGGGTTAGAAGTGGTAGGTGAAAGGCGTCTCAGTGGAGCGAGCAATAGTCCTCATTAGGTGGAGACTAGTGGTCCAACTTTTTTCTTGGTGAGGCAGATGCAGGTTGGCCATAGAAACGTGCTTCTTCAACGCAGTAGACAAACGGACTAGTATTGTCGACCGTCGAGTTCAGACTGGTGTCCAGACCTCGCCAAGGCGCGTTAATCACGACTGCCTTCCTGATAAATTGGGATTGATCGGGCAAAACCACGGCTCGCTGACTGGTTGTATTAATGCCTACAAGGTCATTCATTAGGAATCCGAGTGAGTTCCCCCACAAACGAAGAAGCAGAATGTTCGAGTGGAATTTCTCCAGGTTCTGTACTAGAGCCTCTTCTTTTTCTAACATAGACTACTCGCCTTAACAAGTCTTTTCTGAAATCCTTCCTTTTACCGATGAGGTGAAACTGTGGGGAAACGAACAGTTAGGAGGACACTATTTCCCCACAAGAAGACCTACCTGAACTTTAAAACTCGGTAGTCATTAATGGGCTTGCGTTTTATTCTGAAAAATGGAAGTTTTCATGAGTAAAACATGATGCTTGGGACTTGAAGCTTCGCTGAGGGAGAAGAGCTTGAGTGCTTTAGTGATTCAAGCCTTAAAATCTCCTGCCAACTGTGGCAGAAAGGTATGTCATGGAAACCTGACACTAGCAGCTCTAAGACAACTTTTCTGATAGCTCAATGACAGGTGTTTTCACCAAATTTTTCAGCAGCCTCATACATCATTCTGTCACGTTGCAGAAGGACAAATTTAGCTCACAGCGCATCCAAAGGAGCTCAACCAAATCTTAGGTCTAAAACATATGTGGGACGACTGGCTGCGTTGGAATATCGAAGACTAAGAGGGGACCTCAAACGTCCCCTACTGAATCCTAGCCGTAGCACTAATCTTCGAGGGCACATACAGAAACTAAACCTGGAACATGGCGGGTTAGATATTAGGCACAACTTCTGTTCCCTAAGAGTCCTTAAACCCTGGAATGCTGTTATTGCAGAAATAAACCAGGATACTCCCTCTGATTCGTTTAAACGCTGGATTGGTGCTTTCTTGAGATGTAGGTGGGATCTACTTAGAACTAATTGAATTTTGATAGTTTAACCACTACTTTTGACTGTCTTAACTTGTACACTGGCTAACCATCACAAGAAGTAGTGATCTACGTATTATAGGCGCTGAAGCTAGTTAGGTGGAAGCTTCTTCTGAACTATCTGAAATATCAGTAGTTCCACATATTGGATAGTAAGGAGAGCGGCTTGATCATCAGGTGCGTTACAAATAGTGGTTATGGCGGTTGTTGCACACAATGGAGTTCCTCCTACAAGGTTCATTGATGGGATAGGTATTGTACTTAATTCTAATACTGAAGTTAATAGATGCGAATAGCGAAGATTACATTCGGGAACTACTCAGGCCCCCAGTCATTAAAGAGGATGTAAAGTTAATGCAGGAACGCAGTCGAGTTTCTCTCATTTTACGGTCTGCATATTTTCGTAAAGAGTTGGAAAAAATAGTTGCCTCCTCCTTGAAGTCCGGATGTTTGAATGCCAATGTTCTTGCTCTCAAACAGATAATTGATTACTTAACACCCCAAACACGGCTTGGATCTTCTGCTTTCACAAGAGGTACGATTTGTTAAGAATACATTTTGAGTACACACGTTATTTAAGTTTCATTCGTTTCGGGATTCCTAATGCTAATCTTCATTCCTAGTGGTATGAGTAGTGATACCTGGGAAGTAATGGGAGTAACGACTATCATAAGGAAAGAAGTAAAGACTATCAATGATTTATTTCCCCATCGTCGTTCCCTTAGTGCAACAAATAGATTCCATGTTCGCTCTGTCGCTTTTTGGCTTTTTGTTCGGATTGGGTGGTTGCTTTTTTGACCACGAGAGAGACTGGTATCACATGGCACGTTTACCAAATTTGATTTTTAAAAATCAGTCAGTTTTAGTTGTAATTTCCCATCTGATTCACAGTCCTGCTAATGTTTATTGCACCCGTTTTTATAACTTGGTTTGTTCAGGTGTGAAAGTTTGATGGGCGTCATTAGGCGTGATGATGAATCATATTTATCAAATTCTTTCTTCGTAAACCTGAGCCTAATGGGCACTTTGTGCATACGGTATCTAGGATTTTGTCTTGATAAGTAGTTGAACTACAAGTCTTCTAGTGGTCAAAGTATGCAGCTTTTTTTTCCCATTTATTGTTGTTTCATTAGTTCTTTTACTTTATTACTGCTGTCCTTTGGATATTTGGATATAATCGTAAAGCTGTCCTGTTGGTATGGGATTTCACGTAGTAGTTTTGAAGTGCGTGGTACTACTTAGCTCCTAAAAGTACTTTTTCTACTATTGTCAAAGGTCCGGAGGTTGTATTCTGTTTCTGTCCTAAAATTAAAGTGGGTTACTCTTGAAATTCGTGCAACATCTATGAAAGCATGGGGAATAAAAAACAGTTAACTCGTGGTGTCAGTAGTGTTAGTATTAAAAATGAACATTCTTGATTACCATTTAGATTTTAGATTTTCCGATAAATTGGTTTATTTGCCCTTGTGGTAAATTGAAACCTGGGAGAAATGCTAAAGTATAGATTCCGACATACGGCACTTTACATTTAGGTATTTTGATATCTCTTTGTTGCAGAACGTTGGTAACATGTTTTTGGACAATTAAAATCAACCTCAACACGGTAATACGGTTGGAAATCTTTAGTAGTGTGTAATATAACCCTCCTTCACGTCGAACGTTTCCGTTTAAACAGGATGGTAGCATTGAATCTAGCGATTACCCCTTGCTATTCCGTATACGGTAGTGCGTTTCTAAACAACATTCCGTTTACAAGATTTCAGCATGAGATGTACATGAAAGCTACTTAATTGCCAAAACAACTGGTATTTTTGTCTAGGTCTTCAGAATATTATGTTGATCTTGGTGACTAGCAGAGGGTTGCAGGACGCGCGTTGCGTTCTATTTGAAGCCCTCCAGGGGATGTGCTTGCACCCCAGTGAGCGGTTTTGTTCCCACCGGGCCCGAACCCAGTGTCCGTTGCTTCAAACGCCAGAGCGTTATCCACTGGGGCACGATAGCCACCTTTTGTGCAACAGGTATCAGTTGTTATGATACTTGTGATTCCCCCTTGCTATTCAGGGCCGAATCGCCCGACCTCTGTTAGTGTGTGGATTCTTATGCAGATGCCTCGATACTACTGAATATTCATGGTATCATATTGGTCTTGTCCAACGGGAAATTACAAGTATCATAACAGTAGGTCTACAGAACTTGTTGTCGTCCTGAAAACAATGCATTTATCTGGTACGGACTCCAGTTGCACATTGGTTTTATTGTTTTCCTTTTTATTTACTTTCATAGGGTAATATGTTTTGCCTTTTCCTGTACTTAGTTACTTTATAGTGTTTAACCCCTTCTCTATGCTTAGTTACTAATTTCCTTGCAGCGTTTAGGTTCCTGTCTTTCAATGTACTTATCCATTCTCTTTTCAGGCGCCACAGTTCCTGTAGTACCGATTAATGATTTACGTACTGTTCAGCTGGGTAACTATGTCAAGGGAGAGCGTCTTACGCGATGTAAACTGGCATCTGTTTATCGACTGGTTGACATATTTGGATGGAATACTGGGATAAATAATCATATTACGGTTAGTTATTCTTATTGGTAATGTTTCGAATATTCTATGTTACATGTACTGTATTTATGAAGATATATATGTTCCATGATGCATATTGAGTTATGAGTTGGCACTAGGGCTGGCTACAGAATGTTTCATACAATGAAGTGATATTCTATACTAATTTTAAAGGTGACTGGGCTACATGACTTTCAACAGGTAGGTTATGGGTTCCAATTCCATTCCATTTACCAGTGTGTAACCAGTTAGTAATGGCACTCATACAGATATGGTTCATATTTAGGACAGTGTTGTTTTGAAATTTTACAGTTGTGAGTGCTAATGATTGGGATAAGTCTTCTGAAGTTCTTAGAGTAAGGTATCACTGGGATAATCAATAAAGAAGAGATTTCTAGTTCGAGTGATATATATCAAATGACTGGGATTAGAGAACTACTTTATAGGGAGTTCTTCACGATCTATCGACTTCTTTGATACTAGTTGTGTGATTCTTGACAACTTCAAAGTTGCAAAATTAAATGACAGTCAAAAATCAGCTTGATATTCTTTGCTTAAATGGACTTAACACTTGGCGAATAGCATTTCTATTTTACTTTTGGATGCGAATCAGACTCATCTGGATTGATTTCCTGTAAAGCATCATTCTGGTTCACTCCCAACACTATTTAGAACCAAAGTAGCTTGGACGTATACTACGAGTTTAAATTGACCGTAAGTTGTCGTAGATGACGAAATCGAAGAAAGTAGAAATATCATCAGCATACAGTTACTAAAATGGCCGTATTTCTTAACTTAAAAACCGTGTTTGATTTCTTTGACTAAAATGTCTTTTGAGTGTCTGATCGTGAACAAGCTGTCGAGCAAGTAAGGTTTAGCGGTCAGATTCATGCAGTTGTTTAACGGTTTAAAGAAGGTTTTCATCAAAGGGGATGACATTTAATAATGTAGACGTTGAATACTTATTGACATAACCCTTCTTTAGCGTTGTTTGGTTGCGCTGGTGGGCATAATTTTATTGTCACAGCTGGGTCTCGCACCCGGAAACACTGACTAACTTAATGTACGTAGGTGGCCGATACGTTGCACGAGGATACTGACAAGATGCACGCCTTGAACGTAAGTTATGGGGTCTTTTGCATAGTTTGTACCTGGTAGCTGTAAAGTAAAGTTCCTAGACTGTTCTACACTAATATCTGGCTTAAGAATAGTCAGTGAGACGTAACAGCTTCGCGTATTTTCAAAGTTGTGGCACCCATGACAAGCTGGTTGCTGAAGAATTCTTGACCTACAATTTACGGTTAGTAAAAGCCAGTAAATGTTCGCTTCTTGTTCCGGACTGATTCATTCTGTAATTCCTATTTTCACTTAGTCTGATCATGATGAAGTGCAAAAACATAGTGTAATATGGTAAACTAAGGTTGCTTTACAATTTTTGGTAAGACGCCATCAGCTGTCTTGTAATTTTCGCTATTATTACTCGTTAATGGTACATTGTTTTAACGGGATAAATTCGATTCATCTTGCTTTGAGTTTAATTCGTTGTGTATAAGAACCAGTTTTATTCACAACTAAATGCACAAAGTCCTTGACTGTTCGTTTGAGCCATGTAGGGCAATACGGACTATCCAGTTTGGGTCCGCGGGACAAAAGCAACCAGTGATTTGCTCAGATGCATACACATATTTTCCTCATCTTAATCGCTATACTTAATCTTACCATCTTATTCTTGCTTCCTCTCTTTTACTACTTTCTACTTCTACTTCCTTTGACCAAATTTTCTTTCCTTCATCTTCCATTTTATTGCCTTGTTACTTGATGTGCTAATATGAGGTGTGGCAACTTACACCGTAGTGCCTGGTCTTATGTTGGTCTTGATGATGATGGTAATGAAATGATACAGTGCGGGATGCAAGATGTTATACAATCAATTTGTTCGTCTCTATCACTACCTTTTTGTGGATGGTCATTAGTGAAGTGCAACCAGCAAGTCGATAACTTTGTTCTGATAAGCATACATCACTTGACTACATTGCTGACGCTGACACTAACAAAATAAGCGTATGGCTGCGCACATAGATGCATTCGCTCAAGTTGCTACGTCAGTAGTACACAGAACAGGTACATAGATAAAGAGTGATGTAAAAGTGGACAAAGTTGTGTGAGAGCTTAAACGATCTAAAGATAAATACTCAAGCCTCAAAAGATACCAAAGGATGAATACATCTGCGTCATTGTGACCGATTTCCAGCCATGTTATCAAGATTTCTTAATTACTGATTCCTTTCTTCTAACGGACCCCAACCAGGCAGTCTACATTTCACCACACGGCTCACAGCAGCAGTCAAAACTGTCAATCTGTATCCATCGATGGTTTGATGTTGACGGACACCACATGAGACAGTATCTTACCTTACGCCTAAAGTTAGTGCTGGCCATGAACAAGTGATTGTCGGAACAAAATGGCAGCAGATGGTCGCTGTTGTCGGTTCGTTGGTATGGAATTCCGTAAATACCTCCCAGGTACCTTTCCGACCCGCCGTTTCCCTATTTGAGTGTTAAAGTCACTTGCCATTATGACTATATCTGAACGTTTTGCTTTCTGTAGCAAGGTTGACAGCTTTTCATAGAATTCATCCTTAGCATCATCCGAACTGCAGTCGGTGAGTGCGTGGGCGGAGATTACGAATAGGGATCGCCTAGTCTCGTGATCCTTCCTAGTCCTTCCAAATCCATTCATTCGAATTGCATGTAAATGGTTGTTGACTGAAAACCAGTCAATAAACACACTTTCTGCCATACAGCTCAATGCTGTGCCTACACCAGCGAGTTCAAGAGAGCTAGCCATTGAGTCTCTTGATATTCGTAAGGGGAATTTTAAAGATTCTCTACTCTGGTTAGGTGGGATTAGTGTAATAGCCACACTCAGGTCGTGTATACGTGTCCCAGAGACAAAACATATATCCATGGCTAGAGATTCCAGAGTTTTGACGAGCGACGCTTGCTGTCCGACTCGGTGTAGAGTTCGGACGTTGAATGCTCCTACATGAAATCGGTGGCGGGCGGGGTCTCGAGAGACTAGGAATGGGTTTCGATGGCTTTGATTATTGACAGTCATTTCAGAGAGAGATTGGGTAAAGCGTAAGAGCCTTCACACTAGTAGCAGAAGGTGAAGGCAAAGAAGGTGGCAGAGTTGAGGGAGATAAGTCGTTTGACTGGGTCTTGTGTACTACTAGAGGGGTGGGGTGGTTGACACTTCCTGGCCGCCCACACCATGGAAGGCTAGTTCCTCTTGAAGTTAGCTGAAAAGAAGAGATAGTGTGTAGCCGCAGAGCACATTGGACATCTGCTTAAGGCTGGTCACACACCATCGTTTGCGGGGTGTTGTTTTGAGGTTTGGTTACTGTAACACCAGATGGAGAGAACCCATACCGCCGTCACCCTTCCTGTTGGCCATCATGTTTTCTCGTTGTACGGTCAAAATATGAATGCTTCATAATAAACTCTAAGTTTACATAACTAGAAAACATGGTGGGTTGAGAAAACGAAAGAAATGATGAAGGCATCGACCTGAGTAATACCTGGGCAAATACCTCTTAAAATAGTATCGAAAGTTGAGAAGAATACTTTCAAGGACAATTCTACCATAGCATAGCGACGGGCTTTTGCTCACCACGCAACTTCAGGATGAGATATTGCAGTCAGTCTTATAATCTTAACGAAGTTTGTAGCCCTTTTCAAACTTAAGATTTCGTTTAGCAACATGACTATGGTTCTCATCCAGAAAGGTTTAGGAACAGTGATTAGGAATTGCTTAGGAAAACTGCGATGCTAGACGGTGTGTGGAAATCAGAGGTAGTTCTATCAATCCGATCTATATCATTAGTCACTTCAGCTTACGAAAAAGAAGAACAATTTTTCTGTTGTAAACACTAGGGTGTTAGTTTTATCGACAGTATCTGCGATCTCGTGGTTTATAACCATTCGATGTTTATCTAGGGCTTGAGAACAGCAAACTATAATAAGCCAAGTAGTTTCCAGACTCCCATTTATATAAATTCATCAGGCCTTCATTCTTCTTTGCATTCTAGGATAAAGGTTTACTTTCCTACCTTTATAGTTGTCCCACTTCATTTGTAGGTGGCACTCGACTCAACTGATCCAGGAGTGTTTTGTCGGAGTTTAAATGGAAAGATTACCGAACTAATTTATTATTCTATCGAGTTCCCTCCGTTTGAACCCGTACATTTGTGTTAAAGCTGATGGAAATTTGTCATCGTAGGTGACGACAACCAATAGTGTCTGCAAAGGAAATCCATTCTTCATTCTTATTTAGTTATGTTATGTATTTACTGGTAGTTAAAACCTTACGTATATTTAACATTTAAGGATTTAGTTGGTTGTTCAGTAGGTATCTGGTCGACTTATAGTTCTTAGGTGACTCTCACAAAAAGGCTAGAAAGGGTCAGTGGATATCAACAGCTTTTTTTAGATTGGTGGATGCGCATGTACTTATTCCTGCAGCCTTCAAGCACAACAAGGAGCGTAAGCAATGGGGATATAAACTGGAAATGACTGCAAGCAATGGTGGGTGGCGAATACTGACTAGGTGGAAAAGGGAGGTAACAGTTGACAGTCATTCAAACTTATCAAGGAAACCGAAGAAAACGTCAATGATCAGTAAGACCATATCAGAGAAGGATATATCTGTAATTCACTCGCAGGAAAGACCACTGGAACGATGGGCAGAACCATTTGGGGGATAGTCCAACTGGCCTTCAACTACTATCCGTTGCCCACTATTCAGTGGGAACCTGAATGGCACATTGAGATATAGGGTCCGCAGCATTCGCAAAAGTCGAGAAAGCTGTAGGTTACCTGAAATGAAGAAAGGTAGCAAGGTCAGATGGAGGTATTTATGGATGATGATCTAGGATTGTTGTTTTGGTTAACTGAATTCTCAGCTAGTGTATGGCGGTCATATATGATCCTCTCTGACTGGTCTTAGTCACTGATTTTCCCAGTCTTAAGAAAGTGGAGAAATCTTTTGTGATAGCCATAGGGGGATCATTCTGACGAACAATTCCACGGTCATTTGAACTCTGATTAAAGTTGTAAAATGGTAAGCGAAAGAACACAAGGCAGGTTTCATACCTGGTCTTAGTTATATCGAACCACTTAAGGACTGTACACCAAGCTCTGGAACACATGCATACTTACCGGCCCCTGACGCTAGCTTTGTTTTTTGGTATAAGAACGGCATTTGACTCCGTCAGTCGAGATACTTTGTTTCAGTGTCTAACTGAAAAGAGTTCTGGTGAATTACGTCATCCTGCTAAACACTATGTATTCGAACACTCATGAGTTTTTCAGAGTCTATTCTGAGTTATCAGGCGGGTTGTATACGTTGAGTGATGTCCATGGAGAATGTCCACTGTTATTTAATTTCGTCGCAGGGAACTTATGGAGGCCTCTCTCTTCACATTTGACTTTGCAGAGATTAACCTTGTCATAGAAGACGTCCTGAGATATGTAGGGTAGGCAAGCTACAGTCGTTTTAGGTGAAGTTACTGACATAATACAGTCTTCTGGACACGTTGGCTGGCAGTCTTAGAATATCTGATATGGATTTTTTACCACCAAAGTGTAAATCGTTGCTCCATGACTGATCTTCTCTACTGCGTTGTCCAACAATAGAGAGTGAAGGATTAAGCATGTTGACTACTTCAGTTACTTTGAAAGTCGGAACATTCTTGCTGCGTCAGCGACCAGTGACATTTCTGCACAAATACAAAAGGTTTTATTGACTTTTGAAAATTTACACTACCTAGGATGCCGCCCTGATGGCCAGTTGTATATTCAGGGTTGAGTGTATTGCGCTTCATTTTTGTGTGTTCTACTATGTAGCTGGGAAATATGGTCACTCAAGGTTGAGGGTATGAGGAGGCTTAATGTGGTGAACCATCATTGCCTCTGTAGAACGGGACTTGGTAACGTAGTAGTCAGGTGTAGTTTTGGGCAAAAGAAGAAAGTCAGTTAGTAAGGTTGTCAATGTTCATTGACTCAGGTGATTGGGACGCATGCTATGCTTACCTAGTCACTGTCTACCGCATCGCATTATGTTAGCTTATTTAGGTTCAGGCTGGAAAAGGCTTGCGGGGGGATGGGAGAGGGGAGTGCGACCAGGCTAAAACATGGTATCAGTCCCTGAAGTCTTTGACTGTTGGTCTGAGCCATATAGACTAGTGGAGAATTTGCTGTTGGAATCCGTACGACAACCAAAATTGGTGGTTGGGAGCTGTAGGCCATATAACTCAGAGTCGATGTCAATGGCGTAGATGCATTCACACATTATCGTTATGTGGAATTTTTTAGTCATCTCATTCCTCCTTGTTTTCTTGTTACCGATTTGATTGAAGGTGTGGCTCATTGACTTAGGTAGTTGATTTTCAGCTATTTAGCCACGGGTTCGAACCCTGCCGCGTCTACCGAGGTTTCGGTAGAGGGTAGTATCATTAACCTCTAACCGGTAGGTTTGGCCCATTACGTACTATACGGAGGGGTACAAGGTTGCTGACTGCATTTCGCTTTTTTCCGACTGTTTGACTACTATCTTCCTTGTTTCTTAATTTTCTACCTTGGTGCATTCTATCCTGTTGTGCTGATATGAAGTGTAGCAACTCGAACTGTTACCCCGTAATTGCAGTTTCCAATATGATTTTAACTGACTGACCGGACGTTTAAGTGTATGGAACTGTCTTGCCATTTGTTTATCTGTATTTCTGTTTACATGACTTTATGCATTGTGAAGTTCCTTCAGAGTTTTTATGTTTGAGCTGAACAATAAGTAGTCTGTTGTGATTATCCAGTTGTACCGTAGGTATGATGTAATAAAATAGACAATTTTGTCTGTATGAAATTGTCGTAAAGCTACCACCAGTCTCTTACTTTGGTATGTGCTACGATCATCTGATATTGGAATGCGCATTCGTTTTTATTGATTTATTAGATTTATCACACAGTGTAACAGTATTGTTTACTGAATTACGTTTCGGACATTACTTATTGTCCATAGTTATATCAAGATAACTACACAACTTTGAGACAAAGTTTATATAGTCCTAATTTCCTCGCCCCCTTTATGTTATGGGTAGTAAGATTTTCTATATATCCGGAAGAGGTGCAGAGTGATTCCTGTTGCATGTATTAGGTGTCGATTTGATGAATAAAGATTCAGTTATAAATCTCTCCTCCTACTTCGCTGTGTTAATTTTAAGGATTTCCACACTGTCTCATCCTATTGTGTGGCTGTGTGTAATCACATTCAGGGCCATAGCTGAGCTTTTGTCTACATTTCTTATCTTTCTAGGATCTACCAGTTTTGAAGTAACTAGTTTTTGTGCTCAGAAAGCCTAATTGTCCCTGGTCGACTACTTTGACCTAGGTATTTGACCTCGCAATCGTTGCAAGGGATTTGGCAAACTAAGTTATTCTGCCTAATTGGATCAGAATGATCTTTTAACGTACAGAGCTTATTTCTGAGTGAGTTTGTAGGTTTAAATGCCACACTAATCCCAGCCAGCCTTATTCAAAATTCTTCGTAGTGTTTCCGAGGTGTCTTCTTTGTATAGTAATACTGTAGAGGTTTTGAATTCTCTCCTCACAGTATTGCCACTACTGTTATTAACATTATTATTACTACCATTAACATCTGTGTTACTAATATTCATTTAGTTAGTTTTACTGATTTTTCCGTTGAGCATTGCAGGAATCTGAATACAATCTCTTCATTGTAATATATTGTGTAGTGGAACTGGGGTCTAGGTAACCAACCGACTTTCAACCAGTGGGTCAGTTCTTTTAAACCTTACTGTATCTAATTAAGTGTTGATAGTCAGACAGTATCAGTAACCTTTTCAATAAGCACAACTCGCTGCTATATTATGGACTGCTTTCTGCAAATATTAATAGTCATCACCAGATTTATGTTTGTTCATTGACTGAAATATCCGTTTTATTTACAATCACTAATAACCTTTTATTCATATTATATATTGCGTAGAGTTCAGACCAAGTTAGTTCTTTGCGTTACAGGATTTGACCGTTCTCATCAACTCCTTGGTCATATATTACTTCTTTTTCATAGGCTCGTATTGCCAAAGACGCTGATGAGTATCTTATAAATCCAATTGGTCTGTTATACAATGAAGTGACTGCGTCTTCGCTTGTTAAAATCAACCTCGAAGGTAAACACTTTGATTTTAATTAAACGTTTTTAAGGAGTTTTCATGTGTATCACAATGACTCATATCTCTATAATACTTTCCCTCTGTAATTGTTTTGAACCTTTTTCTATAACGCATACTTATTAGCGTCCAACGTAACCAATCATGGTAAAACTCAACTATGATTAGTTTAGAGGTTTCTGAAGGTGGTATTCATCGTGAACTGACATCAGTTGTAGAACTATTGAAAAATGTGGAGCACTCGATAGCTGTTTCGTCCTAGTTTGGGAGTCCTCATCAGTGCGCGCTTATGACCCCGCCAGGGATCAAACCCAGAATACTAGGGTTTTTCTATGACCCTTTAACATCACTCTATTAGTATACTTTTTATATAGTACACTTTGGTTGATATAAGATGGTTATAAAATTAGTATGGTTGGATACCAACCGATATGAAACTCAGTTTTTTAAGGAGGTATCTTAGTAATTGACCGATCACAATCATATCCAATGACATCGCTTACTTCAGTTGCATAGAGGAGTTAACTTAGCGTCCGTGTAAATCTTACAAAGTGAATGTTTCATAATCATTCAAACTATTTTGCATGTTATCAGCTGTGACCATTCCTCTACAGTCATACACACACACACACAGATAGACGTCCGTTTAACTAAAATCGATGTTTGATTTGCAAACACAATAGCAATGACCTGAACTTTTGATTCAGTTTGTTATTTTGTTACTGCAAATATGTTCATATTGCATGCAGAATTATATATATATATATATATATATATATATATATATATATATATATATATATATATACATATATATATATATATATATATATATATATATATATATATATATAGGGGGAGAGAGAGAATTTGGCAACAATCCACTAACAGAATTCGGTCGATCGATTAAATAATTGACCAACTTAATTGTATGTGAAGTTTACAGTTGAGAAAAACTCATTGGTCACTTATTCCACCGAAATTGTTAGTCATCTAGATACATCAGCAGTAAACTGTTTCGATACGATGTGAGGAATGTTGAGGTCAGGCGAAGGGTACTAGGCAAGGTACAGGCAAGTGGATTGATAAAGTTACGTACCTTAGTCAACTGAGATGCCTTGGATGTGTACTGCTCATGCCAAGTCACCGCCTACCTTGACGTGCCATGTTAGGGGAAGTTGGATTAAGATGGAAAGGGGCTCAAGGTTGCAAGACCAAAACCTGGCACCAGTCAAGGAAGTCCCTGACCCGAAATGACAATAATCAGTGGTTGAGGACTCTTGATGACATGACTGAAAATCGGTCACAATGACACATATGTATTAACTCCTTGACGTCTTCTAAAGTGTGAATATTTGCACTAACCCTTATCTCCAGATTGTGCATCTTCTCATACAACTTTGTCGAATTGATATCACTCTTATTTTATCTGCCTGTTGTTTATGTAGTACAGTGACGTGTGGCAACTTGAGGTGATTCACCTGTGTTTAAGGTTCTGCGTTGATTTTATTGGCTTGTCAATGAATTGAGAATATAGTTTTCGAAACTGAAATCAGCCTAGAAGAAGGGAAGGTTCTTTTCAATTCACGTTTTTTCCATTTGTCTATTCTTTGTGACATATGTGTATGAGTAAAATAGCCAACTGTATGGAAATAATACTGAGAATGAATTAAAGCTCGGGTCTTATTTATCCATCTTTCACTAGGCTATTAGAAAAACACAAGTTAACATCCTACATAGATTATGCGTGTTGGAATGTTGTTAGACACTTCCGAGTTCTAAAGAAAGTATGCTACAATTATATGAGACTTCTTTTAGGGATTTGTTTGAAAACTAATATCTTTTTCAAGTTTTAATGACGAAAATTTTCACTGTGTCTATATAGTAAGCGACAAAAATCTTTAAGTGAGTTTACGTCTAACTTTACGGCACCAAGTTTCCTCTTAGAAATCAGCTGTTGCCAGTGGTTACTTTCATTTTCTTTCTTCAGTGTATTGATTAGTCTAAAACACTTGAATACAGTAATTCTTTTGCAATAAGAGTCGTTTCGGAAAATGTATGAAAATGTTGTCAGTGTGTTTCTTCCGTCTGGACTCTGCATCCGGATTTTCATCACTAATGTCAACTCACTGCTTCTATATGATTGAGAGACTTGGCGTGTTACGAAAAGCATTTCCAACAAACTACAGTCATTCATCAACAGCTGCCACATACGCTCACTCCATACTGACACTGAAGATGGAGATCCGATGGCCAGAATAATAAGAATAAGCAAGGAGGAACTCTGGCGACGAACCAACCAAGAACCTGTCACCCAACAAATATGCAGAAGAAGAAGAAGGAAGTGGAGATGGATTGGATTGGACATACACTGAGAAAACCATTTGGGCACACCACACTCCAGCCCCTCGAGTGGAACCCAGATGGGAAGCGACGAGTTGGGCATCCGAGGTGAGGGTGATAAGGAGGAGATCATGTGAGGAATAAAGAAAGCTTGTGGGCAGTTGTGGAGTCAGGTTGAAAAGACTGTACAGAACAGAGTGAAATGGAGGCGTGCAACTGAAGCCCTATGTTCCACTAGGAACCCAAAGGATAAATAATAAAGTGTCACTTGCGGGATGAGAGTAGAATGTTCCATGGAGGCGTGTTATATTTTTGTGTAAAATGTTGTAATAATTTAGTGGATATACATATCTACTATGCGGAAAAATATTACTGGTGATTTTCCCCGAAGGAAAATAAATAAATGTACGGTAACTGTAGTGGTTGGATGTGCGGTGAATTTTCTTAACTCCAGGTTTCATATTTATAATCTAACATACTCGACCTATCTTATATACTTCTAAGGTCTCTTTACAACGTATGAGAGTTTAGAAGATTTTGCATGACTACCAAAACCACTGGATACTAGTTATCATGTAGAGCATCTTACTTTCTTTTTGTTGTTGAAATGTATCTTTTAACACTGTTATAATCTTAATTTCTTTATTCATCATTTCTCTTACAAATAACCTACAAATTATTGATTTTGTATTTTTACTTTAGGATCTATTTTGGTTCAAGGTTCTATTGGTCTAGGCATTGATAAACAAAGCTGGATGTTGCATGCAGCTGTTCATAGTGCTAGACCGGATGTAAGATGCATTATTCACCTGAGCACTCCAGCTGCAGTCGCAGTAAGTGTTTTCCTATAAACATAGTGTTTGTTCATCAGTTTAACTGCAAGAATAATTTTCATAACTGATAGGTAGATGACTGCATACCTTTTTTCGCCTTGACAAATTCGAACAAAGCAGAAACAAACAGATTTACAGGATAAATTGATGCTGATGAAATCTCAGCTCTAATACAGAAGGCTCGTTTAACATTTGCCAACTTGCGTCATCTGTGGTGCTGACTGGCAAGATATCTGACTATTCATCAAAGGACGAGTATACTACTCTGCGATTCCTTCTGTCCTGGCTCTGCTATACGCCTGTGAGATATGCTCGTTAAAAGTATGGAACGATTTCAGAAATTTCCTCACAGGTGTTTTCATAGCATTCCTTGAGTTTGATGAAATCCCCGTGTGAGAAATCTTGATATCAAGCAAAGAATACTAGGAAAGATAGTTAAGTCGGTTGATAAAGATGTGAACCTTTATCGACTGAGATGGCCTGGAGGTGTACTGCGCATACGAAGGCACCGCCTACCTCGACGTAACATCCTAGAGGAAGCTGGATTAGGTTGATAAAGGCTTCAGAGTGATCAGACCAAAGCGTAGCACCAGTCGACAAACTTTCTGACCATTGGTCTGAACTGTGTGACGAGATGTAGACTACCTTGTTTTGTTCCTTCGTATGCGCAGTACACCTCCAGGCCATCTCAGTCGATAAAGGTTCACATCTTTATTAACCAACTTAACTATCTTTCCTAGTATTCTTTGCTTGATATCAAGATTTCTCACACGGGGATTTCATCAAACTCAAGGAATGCTATGAAAACACCTGTGAGGAAATTTCTGAAATCGTTCCATACTTTTAACGAGCATGTCTCACAGGCGTATAGCAAAGCCAGGACAAAAGGAATTGCAGCGTAGCATACTCGTTCTTTCTCATATATTATCTTTGTGTTTGTTGAGATGAGAAATGGGTCAGTCGGTTGTTACCGAAAGATGTGAATTGTTTTCAAATAGAAAAACTTGACACTTACCTTCTAACAGGTTTCAGAATTTCAGCTAACCACTGAGCAGTTCGGTGATAAGGAGAACCAGCCATGTTCAAGCGGGAATACGTCTTCGTCTGATTTTGGATGTGGCTGGTTCCGCTTATCACCGAACTGCTCAGTGGTTGGCTGAAATTGTTTACGAAGCGATTCATAAAACTGAGATCATTCTTTCCTGCTTAGTGTTTGAAAGGTGTGTATATGTGTGTGTGTGTATGTGTATAGCTCATGTATTGGTTCATGGACTTTTATAGTTGACTATACCCGTTAGGTTTTAAAAAAGAAGTGAAACTTTTAATAGGAATGTTTGATAACCAGCTTTTGTCACCCTTAAATTCGTAAATTGGGTATTCAACTGTAAATATTTATGTTGGTGTAAGTAGGCACTTTACCTCCTGCATATCTTTGAACTATTGAAATCGAGTATAATTTAAGAAAGTTGAATTAATTTTTGTACAAGCTATCATTTTGCTTTTTAGGTTTCATGCACGAATGCAGGTCTACTACCAATTAGTCAGGAGGCTATGATTTTGGGTGAGACAGCTGTATACGATCCGTTGATTGTTTTGAATAATAATAATAATACACATCAAAATAATGGAGATTTAGATGCTCATAGAGAACGTCAATTTAATGAACAATTGGCTGAGGTAGCCAGGATATTTTCGGAGAAATCTACTAATTGCATGGTTCTATTGGTTCGTAGTTACGGTGTGTTAGCAATGGGGCAGTCAATCGAAGAAGCTTGGTTTACTGCTTTTACATCTATGTTAGCTTGTGAAGCACAGGTAAGTTGTCAACATTATTGATTAATATGGATTTCGAGGAGATAAGAGCTCTTTATTTTGAACTCTAGATCTCTTTATTTGTTTGCTTTTGGAGCAGGATATGTAATTTGGGATTTTGTTTTGTAATTTTTGTTTCTAATTACCTGCTTGAGGTTATAAACACTTTCTTGTATGCACATATGTTTATGCTATTTTAGCTACGTTTGGCGAGTATTAGCGTGGATGAATTGGTTATTCCTACTAAAGAAGCGCAAGAAGCTGCTCATTCAGTAGGTCGTACTCCTAGTGCTGTTCAACTCCGAGTTGGTGAAGTTACTGGTAGTTCAGGTTGGAGGCGGGGTGAGCTTGAATTTGAAGCACTGATGCGCAGGTTAGATGCTGCTGGGTATCGTACAGGTTACGTATATAGACTAAGTCAAATTCGTCAGGGTTCAACTGCTGCATCAACTCTCCAACGTCAACCAACTGATTTTGTAGATACTGCTTCAATCCAACCGTCAACAATGTCTCCTCGTGACGCCGCCGCCCATGTTCGTCGCTCAGCTAGTCTCGGCCGTGGTCTTCGTGGTCTAAAAGACGTAGAAATACCGCCTACAGTGTCTTCTTTTGCTACTTCTTATTATGGAGACGAGGAAAGCAGGCGAGTCAAGTCTAGTTTAAATTTTTTAATTACAGGGTTTATTTTTTTTCATATCATTTTACAGTTGCTTATGATTTCTCTTGTTGTAGAGCTGCAGCTGTCGCGGAAATGAAGGCCAAAACACTTTCACTTTCACGAGCTCATTGGTTGAGTACACCAAATGCATATCTTCGTGAAGAGATTGAAGAGATAGGAACTCCGAATCCCAAGAAGATTACACACTGGACAGAGGGAACAGATCTTAATAAAACTCGTACTGGTGGAATGGCTATGCCATTGGTTGATCCTAATCAGTTTGCTCTACAAGGCTCAGATCCTCAGGAGTTTAAAAATCAACAGAGAAAGGTAATATTTTTGTTATTTAATGAATTGTAGATGTAAATAAGCAGGTTGGAAGAGAGTTACTAGCTAGAAAACCACGTGTCTCAGTGGAAATGAAAATAATACATTCAGATTGTTATAACGTAGGATAGATTGGGACAAATCTGCTAGGAAAGTAGGTAGTGAATTGTCGGACGTTTCAGTAATAGGTTCGCAGGCTCATCATCGTCATCAATATTAACATAGGACCAAGCATTACTGTGTAACGGTTCAAGTTACTACATCTCATCAGCACATCAAGTAACAAGGGAATAAAATGGAAGATGAAGAAGGAAAGAAAATCGGTTAAAAGCATTTCGAAGTAGTGAAGAGGGAATGAGAAAATGCTGAACTTAGTACAATAGTTAAGATGAAGATAATGTGTGTATGTATCTGCATCACTGACATTGATTCTGAGTCATATCATGTAGTGTCTCCAGCCATTGGTTTCTTGTGTCACGTGGACCCTAACCGGCTAGTCTCTACATCTCCCTGTATGGCTCATACCAAAAGTCAAGGACTTTATGCAGTGATGCCATGTTTTAGCCTGGTTGCCCCTAACATCTTTCGTGTCTGAACCTAATTAAGCTTAAATTGCGCGATGAGGCATGCGTCACACATGTCCTAGTCATCTCAGTTAATGAAGGTTCACAACTTCATCAACTGACTTTCCTCTCGTCTCTAAAACTCTACACCTGACTTTTGCGTTACTGAAATGGTGATACCTTGAACCATGGCCTGTGCTACATAGGCAACAATGGCCAAACACCTGAAGCCTTTTCATATTCTCTACCTTCAATGGTCATTTTTCACACCCATACAGCACAATAAAACAAAGCGAACTGATTGTACTAAGTTAATGCAGTAATAAAATGAATAGATTTTGCTTATTGACTAGTGACCCAATTGCTTTCTTGCCTCTATTGAAGTTCAGTATTGTCTTCTGTATGACCATTGAGGTGACTATTTATTTTAAACATTTCAGTTTAAAGTAGCTATTCGATTTTCTGAAAAAAGCTGTATTAATTTAGTTAGTATGTTTTTAGGACTCGTCAGCTGAGTTCACCTGCCTCTCAGTGAGGGATGTTGTTTCAACTGAGACTCGGACTTGGTAACCGATCACTTCAAACTCCAGAACGTTATCCACCAGGTCACCGAGTTACGATAACCACTTCTTGTGCGACGGGTGTAGTTTTTAATGTTGCTACTTTTATTATACCGTCTTAGTAGGAACAACATCGCTCACTGGGAGGCAGGTACATCCAGCTGACGAGTTCCAAATTGGACGAAGCATGCGTCCTGGATTCCGCTGCTACCCACTATCCATCATCTAAAATTGAAACACAAGCAATACCAAGGCATCCGCGCAAAATCCTATATGTTCATAGAAACCGATCAGTTCGGTCCACTCAATGACTAAATAATACAGGCAATAAGACTAGATAGTTACTAAAACTTGGAATAACTTATTCAAAGCAATAATAAGCCTTTGGAGTTGAATATTTTCAACATTCTTTTTATCAGAATGTTGATATGCCCTAAACCGGGGCATACGATACACTGTTTACTGATGCTGAAAAGAGTTTATAAAAGGAAAGAAGTTATTGTATAAATGGTCCGTTGAATTGAATAGTAGTAAGTTGGGCACTTATTAATATGCACATTTCTTCACATGGATATTCCAGTGTATGCTTGAAAGAAATAAAATAGCACTTACGGTCTTTTTCGAAGCTGTAGCTTATTGGCGTAAGTGTTCGACTTATGTGTCATAGGCTGGAACCACCTCTCTTATTGCTAGATTTGAAGCAACTATACGTTTACATATATGAATTCTTCGGGTTGAAGACGATGTTTTATTGAATAATTGAGTTTTTTTAAAATATTTTTGGGGATAAAGTCAATATAGACTCAGTTTTTGACAATTTTGTTTCCTCTGAGTATGATATAATATAAAGTCTTCAAGGTAAGGGTGGGCCATAACCCTATGTATTTAATTGTCGTTGTCCCCATTGGATTGCTTTTATCTGGCGACAACACCATTTAAGTAATTCTAAGGTGCAACAAGTTGTGTTTGGGCATGATGGAGATCGTCATTCAAGTCATCTGGAAACACTGGCTTCTGTGACTTGGATGTACGTTACGCATGTCGTCCCAACGGCTTCCATACTGTTCATTGTTTGCTAACCCTGGGACTGGATGAGAGAAGCGGAGGGGTGATCAGTGTACGACGTGGTGCCGGGGGATGAAGGATATTTGTATCGGGATAGCATCTGTTGGTACATCACGATTCCCTTGGTCAGGTTTGAGTGATCACGCAACTCAGTGGCTTGAGACGTCATTAGATATGAATGATAGATCGTGGCTAGCATTGGAATCCAGGATGCGCATTTCGTCCCATTTAGGACTCGCCAGCTGGATGTACCTGCTTCGCAGTGAACAATGTTGTTCCCAACGTGATTTAGACTCGAGAGCGATTGCTTCAAACACTAGAGCGTTATCCACTACACCACCGAGCCACGATAGCCACTTGTTGTGTGACGGGTATAGTTTTAGTATCATTGTTTTATATCATACCGCCGTTGATTGGACCGAATTTATTGGTGTCTATTAGTATATGGGCTCCTGTGCGGATACCTCGATATTGCCTGTGTTCTAATTATATGAATGATGGATAGAGTCCGAATCCCTGTGGGAACAACATCACTCACTGGGAAGCAGGTACATGCAGCTGAGGAGTCCCAAACGGGACGAAATGCGCATCCTGGATTCCACTGCTAGCCACGATCCATCATTCATATAATTGGAACACAGGTAAAATTTAGGCATCCGCACAGGAGCCCATGTACCAATAGATGCCAACCAATTCGATCCAATCAATTGCGGTATGTTATTAGATATGGCTTCCTCCTGTCTTCTGATGGTGAAAAGTAATAAGCACTTTTAAACTGGGTAGTGATTGAAGGTGAAGTGATAATCTGGACCGCAGCCGGATTCGAACCAGCGAGCCCCGGGCTTCCTGCCTGGTGCTCTGCCAACTGAGCTACGAGGTCCGACTACTGACCGCTGACACTTTTCAGTTGCCTACAGGCTATTAAAATCAGAAGATATTTACTGAGAAATGAAATCTACATACCTTAATGATTGAGAAGAAGATAGTCCATTGGTGAAAGACAATAAAAGAACTGGCACAAACTGAAGAGGTTCGAATGTAGTAAATTATTGTGACTAGAATCAAAGTTATCCAATTTTTATCTAGTCGGATAGTCATTCTGTTGCATGTGTAAGATCAAAAGATGGAGTGGAAAAGACTACCTCACTGTACATGATAACTAAGTAATTTTACTGCAAGCCTAAAAAATGAAAGCGGGTTCAGGTCAAAAGGTCGGATAAATAAATTGTGGCGATAAAATACACTGAGATTTCGAATATTGGAACGTCACACTTACTGTTTTCTTGGGGCTAATAATGCTTACAAACACTTACAACTGATCAGTACATCGTTTTTAACCTTCACTTGCACAAGCTGGACAGGATAACAAAGAAAGACACTGAGTCCTTTCACTATCACTGGGTCCTTTCAGTCCTTCAACTGACATAATATATCCATTTATTCATGAATAAAAATAAGACACGTATCAGTGAAGGAATATTTCCTTACAACGACTTCATAATCAAGCTGTACAGTCGGTAAAATGACAGAATTGCACTAAAAAGTTGCCACATCAATATACAAATTAAACAATAGGTGTTAATGTATGAGATTTATTCAAGTGGAAGAAATAGAAAATGGGTCAGTGAATAAGGAACGAATTAATAACAAGTGGCGAGATAAGGGACAAGTACTGTCAAAGAATTGTAAAATGATGATAATTTAACTGAAGCATGCAAAATGGGCATATTTCGTCAGTTGAATGGTTATAAGGACACAGTAACAGTGAAGGGACTCATTGAGTATTTTGGTTATTCTGTCAAGCTTGCGTAAGTAAATGCTAAAATTCTATTTTTTTGGGATGTTTACATCCCTTATATTTCATACTTTTAGTTTGTATTCGTTTAAACTGGTTTATTTCGCGCTCTTTTCCTGCGTATGGGTCATATTTCGTAAGACCCGCTAGTGTTCTAATTGGTTCTTTAAATGTACATGTTATTCCTTGCCTTTTAAGGTTACTCTAAATTGTCTAAATAGGGTCCGTTTTCACCAATAAATGTTTTCAGTCTGAGATACAATAAACTCATCTGATTTCCAGTCTTTTGATTTCTCTTTGAGAAATCACTCTAGTTGAATCGTTTCAACCCTCGACTATCAATCGTTAAGTATTTTCATTCGTTCTCACAACTCCGCATCACTATCTGTGAATCGACCGTTTTAATTCTAGCTTGTGTACATTTTCCTATTTTGTTTTGTTTGAAACTGGATGTCAAAAATTCACTAGCTAGTTTGACTTCACGTATTTTTCTGATAGGTTAAAGATAAGTACTACAAAGAGGTGAGGTCTGCTGGACCAAAATCTCGAATTTTACAAGGCATCGATCTAGATGATGAAGGAGATGAAACTGATGGTGGCTCTGCATCACCTAAACTTGTTAGTCCCAGAGGTACATTGCTTCGTCTGGATCCTTCGAATCCACCTTCTCTTGAACCTGGACATGTTGTTGTAGTTGGAGCTGCCAGTAAAGGTATTATCAACCGTAATCAAAGACATAATGCTGGGGTTTATCAGTCTGTATACTCTCCGAATCCATTCGATAGAATGACAGATGAAGATCTTGAACGATACAAAGAGAATATTGAGCGCAAAGCTAAAGGTTTACCATCACTGGAAGAGGAGGAAGCAAGAGCTCGCATAGAAGAAGCTCGTCAAGCTGCGGTAGTGGCACGCGAAGCAATGGAAGCAGCTTCTCAGATGAAAACAGGACAAAGGTGTAAGTTTTTCGATATTTATATCCGTAAATTGTTTCAGAGTCAACTGTTTACTCAATAGCGAATATGAGCTAAACCGTTAAAGCTTAGAAAAACTTTTTGTCAGCATATTTCACTGATATGTATAGTCTTTGAAGAAGTTGATATTTTCATTTCCCTATTTTACTATACTGAGTAGATACCTACTGCTGTGTGTAGTTTGCTTAGGGTTATATATTTATAGCTAAGGCTCGTTGATTTGTAAATTCAACTTTCAGCCAGTAGTCACGGGTAGTCACCGATTTCTATCTATCGAGGTGTGAGTAGCTCAAACACTAAGTATGAACTCACTACTTAGTGCACATACTTGCATATAGTTGTTAGGCGGCATACATCCCTTCTATACTTTTTAGTTACTTTTGATCTGACAGTTTTTTTTTTACTTCATTGCGTTAAGACATTAAAGCATATATATATATATATATATATATATATATATATATATATATATGAGATATGAACTACCTGGTTGGGACCCTCGAGACGAAAGGAACCAGTGGTTGGGACTCTTGACGATATGAATGTTTATTTTCTCACACAGCTTTGTTCACTTTGATATCAATCTTATTCTATTCACCTGTTATTTTTTGCTGTGACATGTGACAATTTAAGGTGGTGCGCTTGTGTGCGTGATTCAACGTTGATTCTGTCTATCTGTCTGATGATAAATTGGTGTCATTTTATTTTTGATGGAAACTCGTCAGGTGCATGCAACCTAAATTCCAATGTATTATTATTATTGTTATTTGTCCCTTGGGATCCTAGTGGAACAAAAGGCTTCAGTAACACGTCTCCATTTCACCCTGTTTTTTGCAGTCTTTTCAACCTGACTCCACGACTGCCCAGAAGCTTTCATTTCTTCCTTACACGATCTCCTCCATGTCACCCTCCAACGCCCAACTCGTTATTTCCTATTTTGGTTCCACACGACTGCTTAGCGTGTGGTGTCCCAAAACCATATTCTCAGTCTGTGTACAATCCAATCCATCTCCACTTCCTTCTTCTTCTGCATATTTGTTGGGCAAGAGGTTCTCGATTGGCTAGTTAGTTGGTTCGTTGCGGGGTCAGCCACAGTTCCTCCTCGCTTATTCTTATCATCATCATCCTCGTCATCTGATCTCCATCTTCACTGTCAGTATCGAGTGAGGGTAGGTGGCAGTTGTCGATCATGTATGTCTTCAGTTGTTTGTTGGAAATGCTTTTCGTGACACACCAAGTCTCTGAACCATCAAATGGGAGCACTGACTTGACTGAGGTTTGTGTTGAAAATTCGGATGTTGTTCATGCTTTATGCTGAGTGGAGTGCAGTGCAGTAGATCTCCACACTGATTTCAGATTAATTCAGGAAGGTCTGTCTTGCTGTCTTTCTGATTCTGGTCTGGACATCCTCGTCTGTGCCACCTGCAGTTGAGACGATGCTGCCTGGATGGGTATGTAGGTGAAGGAGACAACTTCGTTTATATTTCTCTCATTGATGTTGATTGGTGTTTGTTGTTGTTGTTGTTGTTATTTGGGTATCTTCATCACCTGTGTCTTCTCTACATTGACTTGAAGTCCCGTTTTCGCTGCTTCTTTTGTCAACTTGTTAGTTTTGCTTGTGGATCTTCGAGTTTGTGTGACATAGGACATTGGACATAAATCATCACCGTTGGCGAAGTCTTAATCTTCTCCTGGGGTATTTTCATCAGTCGAACGGCGTTTACTGATTTTCTCGCTGTTCAGAGTTGTCTGTTGGATGATCGAGTGCAGTTGACCACAATCAGGAAGATGATCGGTGATAGTAGATGGTGACCTTGTCTTACTCCTGTTTTCACTTCCAAGGCATTAGTGAGCTAAGCTTTCCATTGTGAATTACTTGGGATGTAGTATCATCATATAGCATGTAGCTGTTGAATGAGGTCGATAAAGGTGCGTGGCACAAATTCCAATATCTTAGTTCAGGTAAGTGATAAACTCTTGTTATCAGGATAAAGAGAAACTAATCAGTTTCTTTTGGTATACAAAAGGTTGGATTTAATCTGTCTGATTGCAAGGACTTCAGAAAAGCGTAATGAACTTGGCGATTTGTTTTATTTATTATCTCGAAGGCTTTGAAGATCACCTATTCGGTTTCCACTTTCTATTATGTGTTTGACTGTAGCTCATGGACATACTTTGTTCCTTTTCAAACACAAATTTATTGGAATATACTACTAACACGAGTAGATGACCTTCTTTCAGTTTCTCATATGCTTTTGTTTCTACAGGTACATGTAAGTTGATAAAGATAGTTGGATGTGTTGTGAGAAGGACATTTCTCTTCCTTAAACTGTGGACTTTCATCGGCTGAGATTGCTTGGGCATGTATTGTGCATGCTGAGGCACCGCTTACCTTGATGTTCCTTGCTAGAGGAAGTTGAATTAGGGTTCAAAGTGGCAGACCAATACGTGGCACTAGTCGAGGAAGTCCCTGAATGTTGATCTAAACCGTGTATGGAAATGTAGACTTTCTTGTTGGAGTTCTTGAGACGATAGGAATCAGTGGTTGAGGACTCTTGATGACATAACTGAGGATCGGTGACAAAGGCAGAGATGCATTCACTCCTTAACATCTTCTAACCTTTATCTTCTTTGATACCAGTATTTTTCGATCCACTTGTTCTTTGTATACTATCGTGAAGTGTTGCAACTTGAGGTGATGCATCTGTGTGTATGGTTCTACGTTGGTTTTGTCAATTGTCAGTTATATGTAATTTTCGTTAGGAGTTGAACTTCAAGAAGTTTTACATTTTCATATTTTTGTTCTAGCGAATCGCATTTATGTAAGAAGCAGTTTCAGATTTAATCTATCAACAGTAACTGCAGACAAGAATAGTACGTTAACTGATTTGAGCACAAGTGTTTTTTGTTCAAATCCAGCATCTTGTTTAACGGACAATGATAAGCTATTTTTGAACTCGTATTGTTCAATAATAAGAATATTGAATTAGAATATTACTCTCCATCTTATAGTTCCAGTCTGAAGACTTTCTCAAGTAGTGTTCTACCATTATCATCTCTAACTGGTGTATCCAATGCGTTTGTATCAAATATGAGTTGTAAATCAGCTCTTCAATATTGAAGTGCTCATCATTGTTCGCTATTGCCACATGTAACTACGCAATCAGTTAATGATAGTCTTATTAAACCCATCCAGTTGTTTGATGTTGTCGATTCTGTTGATAATAATAATAATAATAATAATAATAATAATAATAATAATAATAATAATAATAATAATAATGTAAAATTAGGTTATCGACCTCAGCGTTATCAACAATACACAGCTCCTTTGTTGGCAGAAACTAGCAGTAATGCTACTCAAAAGTTTATATTATTTAAAGACATTGAGAATTCGTATGGCTCATTGAAAACACTTACTTCTCTGGAGATGTGTACAAGTAACTCTGTTGAAGTTGATTTTTTTTTGTTTTGTTATTATAAGTTGATAATAAAACATGATGATATTCAAATCAGCAGCTATGATACTGGTCTAAAATGAATTTTTCATCTTTTAGATCATGAAGAAAGCGGTTTGGATGTAAGTCGAATCCAAACAATTCGGTCGGATACTAGTGGAGCTGAAGCTAGTCATGATGATACTGAGAAAGAGGTTAGCCTTTTTTTTTTACTATATGACATAGGTAATACTTATACATGGATGAAATTTGTTGTAGATATTGAATTTTTTTTCATATCAGTTCTGCCAATTGGTTATTCATTGAAGTGTGATGGATCCAGTGAAAGTGTATACTTTACTGTTATTCAGTGAATTCATTTAGCGCAGTTTAGTAAATGGATACACTATGAACGCTCATCGAAACAGCTAGTGGAATAAGCAATTCAATAAACGATGCTATTCGGTCATTTATGCAATTTTTAAGACTTCTGTTTGTTCGGTTGAAAAGAAGTTTATGTAGGAGCGAAGTGACCTTTTGTGTTAGATTCGGGAAAAAAACTAGCCGACTATAACATCCACATCTGCATAGGAGCCCATCTACTAACAAGCATCGAACGATTCGATTCAGTATAGCAATGGAAGACTACAAGTATGAAACAGCATGTTGAATATTCCCAGCTAACAATAGAAAGTGAAGTGAGTAACGTAGAAGTCAGACATAGAGTTTTAGGCAGGAGAAATAAGACAGTTGATGCTGTTGGGAACCTCCATCAAGTGAGATATCTGGGACATGTGTTACATATGCCTCGTCGCACAATGTTGGATGAAGTAGTTTCAGGTTGGGAAATGGCTCGGGGCTGCCAGGATAAAACGGGCATCACTGCATGAACTCCTTGACTGTTCGTTTGAGCCATGTAGGGCAATGCAGACTAGCCAGTTCGGGTCCGCTGAACAAGAGAAACCAGTGATTTGCTCAGATGCATACACATATTATCCTCATCTTAATCGCTATACTTAATCTCACCATCTTATTCTTCCTTCCTGTCTTTTACTACTTTCTACTTCTACTTCCTTTGACCAATTTTCCTTTCCTTGATCTTCTACTTTATTGCCTCGTTACTTGATGTGTTGGTATGAAGTTTAGCAACTTGGACCGTTACGTAACAATGCCTAGTCCTATGTCGATCATGGTGATGAGGATGAATAGATTTCACTACTTTTTTCTGAGTAAAATTCTTTGTCTAACCAGTTTCCGAAGTGACTGTATTATCTGTGTATGCATTTTCACTTTCCATATGTAGACTAGAAAAGATGATAGTAGTATAACAGAAAAGAAGAAGAAGCGTCGATTCAAAATGCCATCATTCGCTCGAAAATCCAAAACGAAGGAGATCAAGGAGAAGAAATAGTTTTTATTTCTTTTCGATATTTATACTACTTTCTGATATATAAGTAGACATATTATTAATTTCGATTTTTCAGTTGTCCAAGCATCTGCATAAACTAAATCTGGCTTGGACTAGTAAATCTTTCGCTTTAATCGCTTTCTACAACAAATCACTGTACTCACCTTTTTGTTGACTTATTTGTTATGATTATTATTCATTTGCATATAGTTGGTTGATTCGCATCTGTGTTGAACATGCTTTGTCTGTTATCTGCTTGTGATATAGTTTTGACTTATAATTTCACCCTCAAGTAAGATAATGTGTTTCCTCATATCTAATCTGTGAATGTTAGTCTTCAAGTTAATATATCAAATTTATGAGCTCTTGGCCTACTACTTATTGCCTAATGAATTTGACAGATACGGTATCTAATAGATAAGAGTAGTTCCTTTTCGCATTGGTCCGCTTTATTTCTTCATTAGATTACTTTTGCCTATTAAGAATTTCGCTTAATTCGTTCTTACAACAAGTAAATAAATTTTAATTCACATGTTTACTGTTATCATGGTTATGTGGGGACCAAGGAATATCTCTACTGAAGTCTGTTACCGTCCGATTATGGGACATAGTTTCATACTCTCCTGGATGTATTGTTTTCTTTCTAAGAAGTTCTGTAGTGGGCGCTGCTAATCAGAATGGATATAAGTAGTATATGTTGAGAGGGTGGCAGAAATCATAGGCAATTACCAGGAATGAGTAAAGATTCTGCGCAGAGAAACTCAAGCGACTAAGGGGGCCTGTTAAGAGCAAGTCGAGATAGAAGCAGGAGAAGAAATGAAGGACATTGTGTAAATGACTATTTTAGTATAAAATGTACAGTATTTCATCACTACTGTACAAGATGTCGATAATAAACATTCCTTCCTGTGCGTCAGTTTTGTCGTTCCCTACAGTACCTGACGACAATCTCACTGTATTTATTGACCAAGTTTACAATTTGTTTTTGTTTAAAGAACATGAACAAATACTTCTCATGTATAGCGGTGTAGAATTAGAGTACTGCATATAACAGGTACATGTGTACGTTGAACTATACTGGTTGAATTGTACGAAAATGGTATGCATTCTGCTGGAATGTTGAAATCTTGGTCGAAATGATTTTTAAAAATTAGTTTAGTTTAATTTTCACTGTTGTTCATCAGCGATGGTATATTAATAAACAGAAGTTATGCTTGCATACCTAGAGCTGAATAACTATTGTCATAAATCATTATGTGTTAGGTCATACTTTGGAACGTTTGACAACATGTACCGCATATATTCAATCTACTGAAGTCTTTTTCTCATTGTAGCTGTTTATATCAATGGTGGGAAGAGATTAAAGCATTTTCTGTGCTAGTCATCGTTAATTAAGTTGTCGATTAGTCCAAAGTATCAACAGTAAGCGCAATTGAATAGAAATAAAATCAATTTTGAAGTTTGTGAGGATTTATTATTTATTGATTTCAGGTTACTATTTCTCATGGACTGACATCAGTTGAAGGAACAGTGGATACCTTGGAGCACTGGACAGCTGTTTCGTTCTAGTATGGGACTCTTAAGTAGTGGGCACACATGACGTCATCATGGATCGAACCCGCGACCTTCAGGTTCCATGGCCAGCAAGTTACCATTGAGTCAATGGATTGGAATCCAATGGTCACCAGTTTCCTACCTCTATCAGTTCACGATATAGCTCAACCTCTATTCAATGTCGTCGAGTAACTGTCCGTATGTCCGACTTGCGCTTTATCGTGAACTGACAAGTAGGGAATATGGACCAAAAATGCTAATTTATATTAAATCGATGATTGGCTTCTTGGAAGGTCGCCTCTAAGCATTTTTTCCATGACCCAGGTATTCATACATTTCGTTGGAGAGAGATCTCAAATGCCATATCTATGTGAAATTCAGCCTATAGATACAGTGGATTGGAGTGTATTAATGGTAAGCATCAGCTTATTGATTAGTAGGGGAAATGTCTTTTGTAGAGCTTGACACATCAGATGTACTTGGATCTCAGTGAGCGATAGTGTTTCTGCTAACATTCGAATTAGAGTACTTTTCGCTTCACATGCTATAGCTTTGTTCATTGGAACATTAAGTCATGAAAGAACCTCTTACACAACTGGTCTGAGTTGTTATTTATTAATACTTGATTATCATTTATTTTTCCTTTGGGTTCCTAGTGGAACATAGGGCTTCAGTTGCACGCCTCCATTTCACTCTGTTCTGTACAGTCTTTTCAACCTGACTCCACGACTGCCCACAAGCTTTCATTTATTCCTCACATGATCTCCTCCTTATCACCCTCACCTCGGATGCCCAACTCGTCGCTTCCCATCTGGGTTCCACTCGAGGGGCTGGAGTGTGGTGTGCCCAAATGGTTTTCTCAGTGTATGTCCAATCCAATCCATCTCCACTTCCTTCTTCTTCTTCTGCATATTTGTTGGGTGACAGGTTCTTGGTTGGTTCGTCGCCAGAGTTCCTCCTTGCTTATTCTTATTATTCTGGTCATCGGATCTCCATCTTCAGTGTCAGTATGGAGTGAGCGTATGTGGCAGCTGTTGATGAATGACTGTAGTTTGTTGGAAATGCTTTTCGTAACACGCCAAGTCTCTCAATCATATAGAAGCAGTGAGTTGACATTAGTGATGAAAATCCGGATTTTGTGCTGAGTGCAGATCTCCACACTGATTTCAGATTAATTCAGGAGGGTCTGTCTTGCTGTCTTTCTGATTCTGGTCTGGACATCCTCGTCTGTGCCACCTGCAGTTGAGACGATGCTGCCTGGATGGGTATGTAGGTGAAGGAGACAACTTCGTTTATATTTCTCTCGTTGATGTTGATTGGTGTTTGTTGTTGTTGTTGTTTGGGTATCTTCATCACCTGTGTCTTCTCTACATTGACTTGAAGTCCCGTTTTCGCTGCTTCTTTTGTCAACTTGTTAGTTTTGCTTGTGGATCTTCGAGTTTGTGTGACATAGGACATTGGACATAAATCATCACCGTTGGCGAAGTCTTAATCTTCTCCTGGGGTATTTTCATCAGTCGAACGGCGTTTACTGATTTTCTCGCTGTTCAGAGTTGTCTGTTGGATGATCGAGTGCAGTTGACCACAATCAGGAAGATGATCGGTGATAGTAGATGGTGACCTTGTCTTACTCCTGTTTTCACTTCCAAGGCATTAGTGAGCTGAGCTTTTCTGTGTGAATCTGTTAGACTAGTTAAAGTATGTGAGTTGATGGTTCATTGGTAGCCGGTTTAGTTTCCAATTAGTAAGCTGTGATTGAATTTTATCGGCTATGTTATACATTTAGACGAAAACGGTGAGTGATTTTATATTGTTTTCCGTCAACTAACTGAAATCAAATTAAAGTGTCATGCCGCTCAACTAATTGGCAACATTACACTTTCTATTTACAGACTTTTATGAATGTACCGAAGAATGCATTCAACAACCATTTAGAAGTATATGTACTAGGCAAGAATCAAAGTCTTCTGTGTAAGCACTGGTTATACTACCCAGCTGTTCATATTTCTGTAGAAGAAGTGAAGTTTGAATCCGTGACCTGTAACTAATGGGTCATGGGTTCGATCAACGATCCGCCTGACGAGGCTTTGCCAGTCAGGTAGTATCATTAGCCTTCACTCAATAGGTTGCAAGTGACTTTACTTGACCGATGAGCTACAACACAGTAGGTTTAAGAGCTACTCATAACTCTCTGATGACTATTTCATCAATATGATAGCACTGTAAGACTAAGTTAAATTATAGTGGGTTGGTATGAAAGCTGTTCAGAATAGGATGGCTGCCTTATGGTTTTGCACTTGCAAAAATGAATAATGGAAGTTTTACAGGGCATGTTGACCGGCCTACTCATATTACTCTTTTTAAAGCCGGTGACTGGGAAAACAGCTGAGTTTAAAGGATGTTCGACTTTCAGTATGTTTTCGCCTAATGCTTGGCTTCTTTTGGCGTGGTGTTTTATGTAAAATGTGACCTTGTCAAATGATACAACATTAGATTGATTGGCCATTGGAGGGTAGCCAATGTTAGTTGGTTGAAGGTAATCAGAAGGAAGCCCTGAAAGTATCAAAGTGCACCGCGATTCTGCGCCTCCTATCTTGGTGGCCACATTTCAAAAACCAATAGAATCCGGTCAGCCTTTGGGGCTAAACTATATGGAATTTTTTACCCTCTAGTGATCAGTCGATGTATGTAGTGCATTCCTACAGGAGGTCAATCATGATCCGGATAGTTCAGTGGTAACGTCTCTGACTGTAACACTGGACGACGAGGGTTCGGATCTCAGGTGGGACAACAGTTCCGTAGAGGTTGCAGATTCCCCTTTGTTGACGAGTGTCGACAAGCACGAAACCTAGGTCCACGGCTTCCCGCCGATTGCTTCTAACCAACTAACATCTGTCCAAGATACAACACCATGTTGTTTTATTGATAGACGTGTTATTCATGATACCATCTCATTTAATACGGTAGTCTTGCATATATTAGGCGCAGGTTGTCAGTGTCGTTGGCGTTTGGGTAAGTTTTTGAGTAAGCAGGCAGGAACCAATAACCCTGTGAAACAACAAGCTGATCTAATCTTAGATGGAGAATGTTCTCGACATAACTGAAAGCCAGTTTCCATATCTTTTTGTATCGATCACCTTTATTTTCCTCCTATCTTTTCTAGTATATTGAGTTTGCTGAATAATCCCACAGTAAAATGAACTGTAAGGATAGTCAAAAAGTATACTACCACATGAAGTTGATATCAAGTTTTATTCTTGCTTTCATTTTGTATTTGAAGCACTAAAACTATAATGGAATGTGAAGAAGACCAAGTCATTTTACGTGAAACAAAATGATGGACTGGAAAATCGTTATAGCACCTCATACAGAAATGCACTTCCTAACTGAATGTAAAGAAGAAGTGGGTAGAAAAAGTGACATCAAATAAAACAAAAGTGTAAGGGAGTTGGGAGAATTAATAATACAACAAAGGTTGGTAAAAATGTTCAAACTATCGAGAATTTCATGGAGCAGAACACATTTACACCATTGTGGCCATTTTTCAGCCATGTCACAAAGTCTCCAAACAGTAATTCCCTTTATTTAGAGGACCCCAGCCTAGCTTTCTGTACTTCCCTACATATTTCACACTAAGAGTCAGAGACTTCATGAACTTGTGATATGTCTTGGTATGACCACATTAAGCCTTCTTCCAACTAAAGTCCACTCCTTCGACTTTGTTGCTGTTTGGTGTTGGCACTTGATTTCTAACCGGTGTCATGGGTCCGAACCTATCCAGATGATATCATTAACCTTCATATAATAGGCTCACTGCCTACTTTACAAATGTACGCAAAATTGCTGAGTGAATATCTATTTTGGTCAACAGTGCACCTAAAGGTAAGCAAGGTAGGCCCAACGCATGTTCAGACCACCGCAGTCGGCGAAATTTCACAACCTCATCACCTCACTTGTCTGCCTTGACTTGTACCTTT